GCACTTTGCTGTTGTGGCTATTCTAGGTCCTTTGCTTTTTCAAACAAATTTTAAAATCGATTTTTCTTTTTTTTTTTTTGAGACAGAGTCTCACTCTGTTGCCCCGGCTAGAGTGCCACAGCGTCAGATCTAGCTCACAGCAACCTCAAACTCCAGGGCTCAAGCGATCCTCCTGCCTCAGCCTCCCGAGTAGCTGGGACTACAGGCATGCGCCACAACGCCCGGCTAATTTTTTCTATGTATTTTTAGTTGGCCAATTAATTTTTTTCTATTTATATTAGAGACGGGGTCTCATTCTTGCTCAGGCTGGTTTCGAACTCCTGATATTGAGCAGTCCTCCCGCTTCGGCCTCCCAGAGTGCTAGGATTACAGGCGTGAGCCACCGCACCCGGCCTTAGAATCAATTTTTCAATTTCTATGAAGATGCCTCCTGGGGTTTTCCAGGTGGAGGCTGCCGCTGGCTTCTGGCCTTTGTTTGTTTCTGGTGAGGCTGTCAGTGCTTAGATTCCCCTATGACTTCTGCTCGAGCCGAATTCCATAACGTCTGATATGTCGCGGTTTGTTTTCATTCGGTTCAAAATATTTTCTGATTTCTCTTTTGATTTCTTTTTTGGCCCATTGTTATTTAGATATGTGATCAGCTTCTAAATACTTGAGGACTTTTTGGATATACTTCTTTGATTTTTTCCAGATATATTCATTATGCTGCTATCGAAGCTATTTGCCCTTTTTGTTAAGAACACACTTTATATCACTCGAATCCCTTTAATTCATTGAGGTTCATTTTACGTCCAGACTGTGGTCTATCTTGCTAAGTTCTCCACACGCACTTGAAAAGAATGTGCACTCTGCTATTATTTGGTGAACTGTAAGATAAACATCAAATACATAGTGTAAACATAAAACAGGTGAAGCTAGTTCATATTGAGTTCTATGAATTAGTTCATATTGAAGCTAGTTTCTCAAGGTTTCTATATCCTCAAAAGTTTCCTGTATTTGTGCTAACCATATGGGGAAAGAGGTGTTCAAATATCCAAGTGTTATTGTGCAGACTGCTCTATTTCTTCCCACAGTTCTATCCATTTTCACTGAACTTGTTTTGAAGCTCTGTTACTATGCACATAAACATTTGGACCGTTACTCCTTTATCATGATGCAACCTTGTTTAGACCTAATATCTCTGCTCTGAAATGGACTTTGATATCAAAACATCCATTCAACTCCTTTCTGATTAGTGTTAGAACATGTGTCTTCCCTGTCTTTTTTGTTTTAACCTATTTGTGTCTTTATATTTAAAGTGTGTTTTTATAGGCATCATATAGTTGGCTTTTGCCTTTATATACAATTTGACAATTTCTACTTTCTGTTTCTGTTTTTTTTTTTTTTTTTTTTTGGAGACAGAATCTTGATCTGTTGCCCAGGCTAAAGTGCTGTGGCGTCGTCCTAGCTCACTACAGCCTCAGACTCCTGTGCTCAAGCGATCCTCCTGCCTCAGCCTCCTCAGTAGCTGGGACTACAGGTGCATGCTGACACGTCTGACTAATTTTTCTATTTTTGGTAGAGATAGGGTCTCACTATGTCGCCCAGGCTGGTCTTGAACTCCTGGCCTCAAGTGATTTTCCCCATTCGTCCTCCCAAAGTGCTGGGATCACAGGCGTGAGCTGCTGCACCTGGCCTCTGGTTGCTGTTTAAAGATTTTTCTCTTTATCATTAGTTTTAAGCTTTATGATACGCCGTGGTATTATTTCCTTCTCGGTTCTTGTGCTTGAAGTTCATTGAGCTCCTTGCGTATTTGTTCTAACCATACTGGGAAAGAGCTGTTGAAATATCCAAGTGTAACTGTGTAGACTGCTCTATTTCTCCTCACAGTGCTATCAGTTTTCACTGAATTTATTTTGAAGCTCTGTTATTAGGCACACAAACATTTGGACTGCATAATTCACATCAAATTTATGTCTTCAAATAATTTTTTGTTTCCCCTTCTTCTTTGGGGAGCTCCAGTGTCCCATATCTTAGGCGGCCTGAAGTTTCTCACTTCAAGTTAAGCCTCATTGCTTGATATATTTTAAGCTGCATTATTAGGTACACACCAATGCTGAGGCTCAGTTCCATTTCTTGTCTTTTTTCCCTATTTTATTCTGATGGTTGCACTGCTCTGTCGTCACATTCATTTATCTCTCTTTCTGAGATGTCAAATCCACCCAGATCCCAACCAGTGTATTTTGCATCTCAGACATTGTAGTTTTCATCTCTAGATTTTAGATTTGTGTCTTTTAAAAAACACCTTTCACGTCTCTACTAAACAAGCTTGAAATTGCCTCCGGTGAGTGCTCTGATGGTTACTGCGGCTGTGTAGACGTCTGCTAGTGCCACCATCGAGCCACCCCTGGGTCTGTTTCTATTGACCATGGGCTGTGTTTCCCAGCATTTTTGCATTGCGGTAGTTTCCAATTGGAAGCCAGACTAGTGAGTTTTACCCTGTCGGGCGGCGGGCAATACTGTGTCCCTGGGAACAGTCCAGAACTTCTGGAGCTCTGTTTTTGCCTGCAGGTAAGTTGCTTATAAATAGTTCGGCCATTTTGGTCAGGTTTCGCTGTTCAGCTTTGTTTGGCTGGGCTAGAGTAGCATTTTTCAGGGTTAACATTTCTTCATCGTTGGGGCAAAACCCGTCTGAGTTTCTACCCAATGACTTGCATTTCGGGGGGAGGGAGGGCAAACCTACCGTGTTTCCCTGAAAATAAGACCTACTCATACAATAAGCCCTAGCAGGATTTCTAAGCATTTGTGCAACAGAAGCCCTACCCTGAAAATAAGACCTAGTGACGGGCATGGCTGCGCAGCACATCTGCACAACCCATGCATTTCGTCGCAGAGCGGGAAAGAAGAGGAGCAGCCCTTCTCATCTGCCCCATGAGAGCTCTAGTGCTTGACAGGAGAGATTGGGGCCGATGGTTCTAAAGGAAACAGAGTCGAAAGACATTCAGGATGGAATTCGGGGTTTTGAGTTAGGATGACGTTGCAGAAGAAGACGCCTTAATTATATTTGAATAAATGTAGATGGTTGTACTGTACTTAAAAAAAAAATAACACATCCCCTGAAAATAAGCCCTAGGGTGTCTTCTTGAGGAAAAATAACTATAAGACCCTGTCTTATTTTCGGGGGAAACACGGTAGTCTCTGTCCCTCTGTCTCGACTGGACGCAAATGCTGGATTCATTTGCCGTTGCCAAGTTCAGGGGAGTGAATCAGCACCTCGCAGCTCTGACAACGGGGCAGGACGGAGACCAGCTCTGCCCGTTGGTGCCCGAGACCCCACTGCCGTCCCCGGCAGACGCTGCCCTGCCTCCCTCGCGGTTACGTGGGGTACGCGGCTCTGTCTGCCTGTAGATGAGGGCACACTCTGTACGATTTAATATTTCAAATTCATATCTAGGCCAGCACAGGGTGTGTTTTGTCGTCTGCTTTGTGTGTGCTTCAAACTGGAGCGAGTCAGTCCGTTTGGTGAACAGAGCCGTTCAAATTTTCTACATAATTACATCCCTCCCCGCCCATGGCTCTACTATTGCTGAGAAAACCGTGTTGAAATCTCCACCGATGCTGATCTATTTCTCCTTCTGATCCTGTCGTTTTTGCTTAAAACGTTTTAAGCTATGCGCATATACCTTTAAGATTATTGTGATTTCCAGTGGGAATTGGACCTTTTATCACCAATAAACAAACGTCTGTGCCTCACTCTGGTCTTTCTCCTAGTCTGAAAGTGCTCTTAGCGTGACCCCCATCTCGCCAGACCCACTGCTTTTGGCTGCGTTTGCAGGTTACAGATACGTTTCCCGTCCTGTTATTTTCAACCTGTGTCCAAACAGCCCACTTTTTATTTAGCCTGACACCTGTCACTTAGGAGTTTTCAGTCCGTATTTCATGTGCTAATATGATGGCATTAAGTGTACCGCTTTGCTATTGGTTTTAAGTTTGTGTTACCTGCCCTTGGGTCTTTTCTTCTTACTTTCTCGATTAGATTGGTTACATTGATATTTAAATCAACCAGACCTCTGGTTCTGTTTTCCTGGGCTGCGGACGACACGCACTGTGACCATCACAGTCTCAGACAGCGTGTGGACCAGCGCCCTGGGGTTCTGCGCCGTGTCCTCCGTCTCCGCCCGTGGGAGTTTGACCGCGTCGGCAACGCGTCATCCCAACGCTTGCTTATCTAGAAATGTCTTGCCTGGGTCTGGAAAGACATTCTTCCAGCTGAGAGTTCTCGGTTGACAGCGCTAGCGCCTGATCTTGGGGGAGCCCCCGACGGCGGAGTGGGTCGTCCTCCCCCTGCTCCTCGGCGAAAGCTCTCTCTCTCCCCGGTGGCTTTCCTCGTGCCCGCGTCACCGGTGGCTCCCGGCGCGGTGCTCCGCTGGGCCGCGCTGTGCTTTCGCGTGTTTATTCTGCCTGGTGCTTGCTGAGCGTCCGGACGTCCACGTTTACAGGCGTGGAAAATCCCGGCCATTATTTTGTCAAATACATTTTGTGTTCTGCCATCCCTGCCCCCCCATCCCCGGGGCTCCAGCTGCCCGCGGAGGACTCTCGGCCCTGCCCCGGAAGTCACGCCTCGCCTCTTCCGGCCCCTCTCCCGAGCTCCCGGGTCACACGCGGCCAGCTCTCCAGGCGCGCTGCTGTTTTCTCTCGCAGCGTCCAGTCCAGGGACAGCAGCGCGGTGACGTCGGGGTCGGCAGCGGGGTGACGTGGAGACGGCAGCGCGGTGACGTCGGGGTCGGCAGCGGGGTGACGTGGGGGACGGCAGCGCGGTGACGTGGGGGACGGCAGCGGGGTGACGTGGGGGACGGCAGCGGGGTGACGTGGGGGACGGCAGCGGGGTGACGTGGGGGACGGCAGCGCGGTGACGGGGCGGCAGGGCAGCGCGGTGACGTGGGGGACGGCAGCGCGGTGACGTCGGGGACGGCAGCGGGGTGACGTGGGGGACGGCAGCGCGGTGACGTCGGGGTCGGCAGCGCGGTGACGTGGGGGACGGCAGCGCGGTGACGTGGGGGACGGCAGCGCGGTGACGTTGGCGCCTCTTCCCAGCAGAGTCACGCACACGGGGCCTCGCAGTGGGGACGGGGACTGACCCGCAGCGCAGGCTGACAAGCTGACAGGCTTGTCACGCGGCCACCGCCAAACTCCCGACCTGTGGGAAGCAGGGCCAGCCTCCGCCCCCGGTGGCTCCGCTCCCGGCGAGGACGGCCCCCGAGGCCTGCTGGTGACGCCGGACCCGCCCGGCACTGAGGGGCCCGTCTCCTCGTTGACACACCCGTCACACCCGCTCCGGAGACGGCCGGGTCTTCTCTGCCACCATGCTCATGCCGTGCCACCTCCCGTCACACTGCTGAGGAGTTGGTCGTGCGGCAAAGGCAGCGTGGCAGCGGCACGCGCGTGACGTCCGTCTCCCCAAGGCCAAGGTCCCCGCCACCCGGGGCGGCTGACCTGCTGGCACGGAGGGACGACCTCTGGGAACTTCACGCCTGGAGACAGCCGCACGGATGCCACCAGCGCACGGCGCCGTCTCACAGCCGAGCCCCGTCTGCGACGCCAGGGTGGGACCAGGAAGGGCTCTTGTCCCCACCACACCCAGCGGTCACCGCAGGGCGGTGCGTGTTGCTGTCAGGACATCCCGGCCCCTCCCGGGGGTGGCCCTCCCCTCGGGGTCTCGTGTCCGCCTGCTGCGTTCAGGCGTGGCCGTGTGGCCTGCTCTGGCCAACGACATGGGTGGGATTGACGTGTGCTCGTTCTGCAGGTAGCGTGTGGCTCGTCACCTCTCTTGTCCCTGTGCCATGTGACTGGCAGAGTCGGGGGGGGGGCTGCTCTGCCAGGCGTGAGGATGGTGACGCTGGCACTGAGCTGACCCGCCCCAGAAACCTGGGGAGAGCCCCTCTCTTTTGTGGCCCCCAAGTGCGGGGGGACGACTGTCACCGCAGCGGAGCTGGGCCACATGGACTGACGTGCCCACTCACGTTTCGTTGTTCTCCGTGACACTCGGCCCTTCTGCTCGACAGGTCTTAGTTCCCAAGGTGGGGACAGTCCTCCTGGGGCCACATGGCGTCCACTGCACCGCAAGCTCAGGCCGCCACCAGCTACGGGGCTGCTCATGCGGCTGATCGCGCAGGGAGGAGAGAGTCCTGCCTCGGATGGGATGACCTGCGCCAATGACAGGCTGCAATGACGGGCTGCTGCCACCATCTTCGGAACCCAGGACACTGGCCGGGTGCTTCTGGAAATTTTCATGACGAACATTGTGGCCGATAAAGGCAAGATGACGAAGGCTTCGGACACTGGGAGTGAATGTTGAATCTCTCACAAGGTACAGAACCCCGACCCCCCCAGCCGTAGGGGCCAAGGAAATGGGGGCAGGTTGCAGGAGGAGGGGCTGTCGCCACCAGCACAATCACACCAGCTTGTGTACACAGGCGGTGGCAAGTGTGCAGACCGTGCTCCCAGCTTGGTTTGGGGGTGAGTGCGCGTGTGTGCGTGCGTGTGAACTTGCGTGCCGTCTTGCTGGGGGTGAGTGCGCGTGTGTGCGTGCGTGTGAACATGCCTGCCATCTTGCTGGGGGTGGGTGAGTGCACGTGTGTGTGAGCAGCATGCCGTCTTGCTGGAGGTGAGTGCGTGTGTGCATGTGCGTGTGAACACGTGCCGTCTTGCCGGCCACGCACATTCCCACTCCCAGCAGCCTAGTTCTCCACACGGGGAACGTGGGTGGTGAGCTCCGGGACTTGGTTACTGTGTCAGGGACCACCAGGCGGATTTGGGACTGTCCCAGCACGAACGTCCCCCAGAGGGGACAGGAAGACTCCCAGGACTCTGGGCGGAGGTGCAAGCCTGTGTGTCTGGAGGAGCCGGCCCGGCAGCGTGTCAGGGACAGGCAAGGTTTCGCCTGCACGTGTGGGGTCTGGCCGGCTGCTGCAGGACGAGGGACCCCTCCCCTGGCTGCTTTCCGGTGGGGGTGGCGAGCGGGTGTGGTGGGTGGCGAGGGGACAGGCAGGGAGAGGGCGGGGCTGACCCTCCCCACCTCTGAGTTCTGACGGAGTTTCCTGAGCTGAAGGAGAAGCCGCGTTAACTCCCGTGGGAGAGCCGGGAGCGGGCTCGCTGCACCGTCACTCCTTCCTCCCAGCCTGGTTCCAACGCTGAGTGGCGGAGCGGAAAGCCCTGGAAGCCGAGGCACGCCAGGTGACAGCCACCCGGCGTCCCTCCTCCTCTGGCCTTTCCCAGCCGATGCCCAGCAAGAGCTTCCGGTCCAGCTTAGAACGTGACACGTCCAGAGCCTGTCTCTGTCTTACCTGTTCTTTGCTTAACAGACTTAAACATATTTAATCATTTTAAAAGGCAAAGCTCATTTATTATGTTAAAAGACGGCAAATGCATAAAAGCACAAAGAAGTGAATGAAAACTGAAATGTGATTTTGGTGCATTTACTTCCTCTCCTACCCGAGGGGTCAGGCAGGCCACGCAGACCCGAGCCGCCTGCCTGCCTCTCCGACCTGCTTTCCTGAACAGTGTAACTGTTATCCGATCCCTAGAGCTGGTGGCTACGTAAATTTGATTTTTCATACTGAGTTTCTGGGAGCATGACACATTAGCTCTATTTCTTTTACTCCTGTTTCTAAATCTTTTGCCGACTTACTAGGACTGAATGCAAGATCCCCTTTTTCTTTCTGCCTGACAAACGCGCTGAGGGCTCACATACTTCACCTGGAGAAACTGCGGGAATCAACTCACAGGGAGCGGCCGGCCACCCACATCTGGACCCTGAAAAGTGTCTGCTGCCACCCACGTGGGACCAGACCCTGCAGAGCGGCCCTTTGCCACCAGGAAGGCTCTGGCTGTAGAATTTCGATCGCTGTGTTTTCCCAACGTGCCAGAGCCCCAGTGGGAAGTACCTGGGCCGGTTACCGCGTAACAGACGTGTGCCGTCTTTCCATCAACCCCACGCAACACAACACGCCCCGGAGTACGCAAGACTGTAAGTTTTATTCATTCCACTGAAAATCCAAAGTTCTTTTTGAGGCCACCGGCCACGACCTCAGGTCCCCGAGGGGCCCTGCAGCCGGGCGGCGCCACGCGCAGGGGCGGACCCCACACTATGTACATTCACAGCTCTGAACGCCCGAGGGCTCCATGCTACTGCCCGAGAGAAAAGAGAATCAGGAGGAACAAACATCCACTCAAGTCTGTTGATCAGGGTTTTTTTTGTTTGTTTGTTTCCTGAAAACGCACGGTGGCGTTTCATGCAAAACCCGTCATGTGCAGACCTTTGGGGCAGGAAGCCGCCCGGCCCCCCCACCCCCAGAATATCTTAGTTTGTTGACCCCTTCATTGGCCGCTTATGGGCTTTTTCTCTTTTAGGAACGGACCTTTATGCACGTTGTATAGCTACAAAATAACTGCTGTTCGCTACTAAGGCTGCACTGGGGGGTCTTCTGAGCCCAGCGAGCCCAGACACTGGCTCTGCTCCCCGCCTGGCGGCCCCGGCGGGCAGAGCCCATGCGGGTCTCTCCGAGGTTAGTGTCGTCTTCTCCTGCACTTACTGGCCTGGCGGTCACTTTCCGCAGAGATGCCCCCAACACAAACACCGACTCATCTCAGAAATTAAAAAAAAAAATCAAAAACGTTTTTCCAAATAAACCCAGAGGCTTTGCTTTAGGAAACAAACTAAAGTCTACGATTATTATTGTGCTTTAGGGGTAGATTCTAATTATGCCGTAAAAAAACGATGAAAAAGGTGATGGCATGAAGCTAAAGGTCACGCCAACACGACCCCTTCCTTCCTAAGAGGGGACCCAGCACTCGCTCCCGGGGACACATGGGGGGGGGGCTGCAGGGAGGAGCCGTCTGGCGGCCAGACACCCTGTGGCCACACACGCCACGCCCCAAGCCCCGTCCTTCTACAAGCTACAGCTGCGCTCGCTGCTCCTCACAGAAGGTCAGCCCACTCGGGGCTGCGGCACCCCGGCACCCTGATCGCCATGGAAACCGGAGCGGAGGAGAGGAAGCAGCAGCGCTTCCAAGGGGACCTGCTGGCGGGAGAGGGAGGAACCACCGGTCTGGCCCGAGTCTCAGGGTCTGCCCGAGGCCCGGGAGCCAACATGCTGTTGACACGCCACGGCTGACTCCCGGCCGACACCCCGCCCAGTGCGCTCCACCGACATTCAGTGCCCGACTGCAGTTTAAGCTACGATGAAGTAGGCTGCGTTATATTCAAACAGAAATACCAAACTGGTAACGTCTATAAAAAAGAGGGGTATCTGAAAAGGATTAAGAAAAGCAGAAAAAAGTATTTTGGGGCCAGGAGCTTGTGGCCAAGCCTCCCCTGGCCCGAACGGGAGGGGAGGAGAGGGTTTATTTACCCGGTAGAGAGAGGCCCGACAGAGATTCAGGTCCAAGCCCTAAACAGCCTGGGATGCTATCAAAAAAAGGCCTATAAATAAATATTCTCTGACCCTAAAAGGAAAAATGAAGTAGAAAAACAATTTTCTTTTTTTTTTCTTTTTTAAAAATGTGGAATGTTTCCTGAAGTACCGAAATGAAATTTATAAAATACTCGTGAGTTCCCGCACAAATATAGAAATGTCTAAAAATCAGACGACGCACTGCCACGCTGCGGCCCACACAGGTGGGCGGGATTCCGCGGCCGGTCCGGTCCGGGTGCAGGTGTGTCGCGGGCGGAGCAGGCGCCCGCACCGGGGACTGACGGAAACCCAGGGCCGGGCGCACGGGAGCCCCGCCCAGGAGCCCCCGCCTACACCGGCAGTGGGGACCGACCTCGCTCTTCCCAAATCCTCCGCGCACGGCGGCGCCCCACACGCTGGCTCTGACGCGGAGCCTCTTCGCGAAGAAACAAACCAAACCCCAGTCTTCCGGAACCGGGCCGGAGGCGGCGCCGGACAGCAGAGCGGGAGCGAGGCCCGGACGCGCACACTGGCTCGCGGCCGCGTCTCTCCGCAGCGCGTCCTAGTCCAGTTTCTTGCGGAAAGGCCTCCTGCCAACGTCCGAGCTGTCGGGGCTGAAGTCAGTGCAGAAGCCGTTGGGGGTTGGGGCGGGCGGGGTCTGCGCGCGGCTGTCGAACTGCGTCTGGTCTGGGTACAGGTATTCCTCCGCGAAGCCGGGGTACAGTTCTGCGAATCGGCTGAAGTCGGCTGGAAAGACAAAGGCACCTTTGATGACCAGGGTCTGGGTGGGGGGAGAGCAAACGCCTGGAATGTGGGGGCTCTTTTCCCCGGGCCCTTGCGCCATGCATGCGACCTCCTCGCGCCCTCCCGGGGAGGGCTAGGCGCGCACTTAGCTTCTCTTTGCTGTGCGCTAAATCATCCCGAAGACACAGGGCAGGCCACCGTGCCCTTTCAGCTATTCCTGCTTTTGGGAAACTCTAAAGCAAGCTTGTGGTTTTGACTTCGGCAGATACCGTGTTTTCCCGAAAATAAGACAGGGTCTTATATTTATTTTTCCTCAAGAAGACACCCTAGGGCTTATTTTCAGGGGATGTGTTATTTTCCCCTCAAAGCCTCAGCTTGCAGCACGCACAGGACGGCCGGGACCTGACAGGGGGAGCGACCTTGTTGGTGGGGCTGCCCACACCTTTCCGGTCACCTCTGGGATAGCAGCTGTCACGATGGGGCAGAGGAGAAGGGCTGCTCGTCTTCTTGACCGGTCTGCGACGAAATGCATGGCTTGTGCAGATGCACTGCGTAGCCACACCCATCCCTAGGTCTTATTTTTGCGGTAGGGCTTATATCAGGGGTCCTCAAACTTTTTAAACAGGGGGCCAGTTCACTGTCCCTCAGACCGTTGGAGAGTGTGCACTGTGGGCCCGGGATGAGTCGGCTGCTAAGCAGGACAGGACAGGCAGCGGCGGCAAAAACACCCAGAGGGCCGGATACATCTGCTAGGCGGGCCGAGTGTGCTAGGCGGCCCACACGTGCCTCTCGGGCCATAGTTTGAGGACGCCTGGTGCAAATGCTTAGAAATCCTGCTAGGGCTTATTGTCTGGGTAGGTCTTATCTTCAGGGAAACACAGTACGCCCTGGGCACTTGGCACTTCTGGTTTAGGGGCGAGACCACGCGTCTGGGCAGTGATCTGGCTGCCTGGGGTGGGACCTACGGCTGGAGCACAGCAGCCCCGGGAACCAGCGGGCGAGGGCTGCCCCCCACATGCGCCCCCTAGGAGCAGAGGCGCGCTGGGCTCCGGCGTGCGGCACTGCAGAGAGGTTCTGGGCGCTCAGAGGACTGACACCAGGGCTGTAGGGACACTCAGAGCCCGGCCGCCTCGCAGGAACCCCCAGAATGGCTTTCACCGCCCAGGCTGCGTCACGTCCCAACTGGCCACATGTCCACACCAAGGTGCGGCGGCCACTTTCACCCTCTCACACACACACACACACACACACACACACACACACACACACGCGTCTGACACATGCACACCGCTTTAAAAACACAGCCAAGGCCGGGCGTGGTGGCTCACGCCTGTAATCCTAGCACTCTGGGCGGCTGAGGCGGGCGGATTGCTCGAGGTCGGGAGTTCGAAACCAGCCTGAGCGAGACCCCGTCTCTACTAAAAATAGAAAGAAATTAATTGACCAACTAAAAGTATATATACAAAAAAATTAGCCGGGCATGGTGGTGCGTGCCTGTAGTCCCAGCTACTTGGGAGGCTGAGGCAGGAGGATCGCTTGAGCCCAGGAGTTTGAGGTTGCTGTGAGTTAGGCTGACGCCATGGCACTCACTCTAGTCTGGGTAACAAAAGTGAGACTCTGTCTCAAAAAAAAAAAAAAAACACACACAGCCAAACAAGACGTGAAGGGCAGCCATTTCAGAGCCGTCCTCTGTCTTCTGAGCAAATGCCTGCTCGGTCTGCGGCTTGTTTACAGGGATGACACAGGCTAGCTTAGAAACAAGCAGGGCTGCCACTGCCCAGACTCTCGCCCTCCTGCCTGCTCCGGGCGCCCTCCTCGGACCCAAGCGTTTCCCTGAGAGTCGGCCCAGCCCTTCCACCTCCCGGACTCCCCACGCCGGTTTGTTTTCTCACGTGAGGCTTCGAGGGGGCGGGAACATGCAGAGAAATACCCGCTGAGGGCTGGGGCCGGGCGAGGACCCGGCTGGAGTCTGACCCACCTCAGCCTCGGGGACGCCTCCCCTGCTCACACTCCCGGGAGGGGTTGCTGGGCAGGGAGGGGGCGCCGGGCAGGGAGGGGGCGCCGGGCAGGGAGGGGGCGCCGGGCAGCGTCTGCCGGCTGTGCATGGCAGTTCACAGAATCGTGTGGCCAAGCATCACCGGCAAGGTGAGCTACTCTGGGGAGAAGACCACCCCACCGCGCATCTGCAAGGGCTCCGGGGCACTTGCCTCCCCGTGACCTCTTTCCTGCCAGACCCCCGGGCGAGGGGGGACTCTCTACCCAGAGCCCTGGCTGCCGGTGACAAGGCCAGCACCTCCGAGGGACAGGAGACCCCGCAGCGAGCCAGCTCCATGGGCCCGACATGGATGTCCCTCCCTCCCTCCCCCTGGGGAGCCCTGACCCGGACAAGAGGGCCACAGCCTCTGCAGGCGGCGTCTGCAGCGGGGACGGAGCTTCAGAACTGGGCTTGGCATTCGGTGCTACGAGCTGCCCGAAGAAATCAGATTTGAAAGCTCCTGGCCACCCGGCCAGGTTTCAGGAAGGACCTCTCTCCTGGGGAATTTCTGTGCTGCTGCAGGGGACGCAGGGCAGCCTGGTGCTGGCCCCTGGGGACCCCCCGCCGGGACACCCAGGCCACCCTCGGCGTCACCCCACTCCCGCCACTCACCGAATGTGATCGTGCCCTTCTCCTCCTCGTCGATGGCTCGGAAGAGGTCGGTCACGGAAAGCTCCGCCACGCCCAGGGCAGTCTTGAGGATGCAGGACAAGGCGTCCTCGTCTAAGCTGCCATCCTCCGGGGACCCGTACATCTGCAAGGCGAAGCGGGCGTCACCTCGAGGCCCCCGCCTCTGCGTGGCCAGGGCGGCTCTGGCCCTGGCGCCTCCAGCTGTCCCCCTTCTCAGAGCTGCCGGGTACCATGGGCCAGGTGGCCCGAGGGCTCGGACGCTGCTGACCGGCCACGAAGACCAATGAGCAGATGCATAAGCTCAGCGCGGCCACTTCCCGGGCACAGACGTGCCAGAGAGGGGCGGGTTTCGGGTTCCCCCCACGCTCCCTGCCTTGGGGGACCCGGCTACAGGGAACACGTGCGCAGGCACAAGCAAGCGACGGCTGTCGGAATCCCACGGCTCCGGAGCCCGCAGGGAGAGAGCAGAGCGAGGGGCAGACTTGAGACGGCAGAGGGGAGGTGGGGGCTCCCGCACGGCCGGGACTCAAGTGCTACCCTCAGCCTCAGTCTCCCCCTCCTGCACCTACGCTGGAGGCGGCTCCCGGCCCTCTGCTCGCCCACGCCTGGGCCGCTCCCGAGCCGGGGCTTCCCTCCCCGCTTCACAAGGACCCTGTGCCTGGGGACACCAGGCTCACCCGCTCGGCACCCACCCTGCCCATGCAGTCCCCCAAGAGCAGGGGGCCTCAAACTTTTTAAACGGGGAGCCAGTCCACTGTCCCTCAGACCGCTGGAGAGTGCGCAGTGTGGGCGAGTCGGCTGCTAAGCAGGACAGGCAGCAGCGGCAAAAACACCCAGAGGGCCAGATAAACATGCCAGGCGGGCTGCGTGTGGCCTGTGGGCCGTAGGTTGAGGACGCCTGCCCAGGAGGCTCTTCCGTGGCCCTGCAGCTGCGTGTTCCTTTCTCGCCTCCTCCGTGGGTTCCCCCAGGGCCCGACTGCGCCCAGCCCCTCTCGGTTCCGCCCCTGGGCTGCCTCAAGCCCTCCCGAGGCCCAGCTCGGGGCAACCTGGTGGTGACCGTCCTCCCCACCCCCATCCGTGTCACCCGCACCGTCACCCCGTCTGTTCTCCCTGTCCGGGGCACGGTGTCCCCGGGCTCCCCCGACCCTGCCCCCCCCCAGGCTCACTGCCTCCCGCCACACGCCTGCCTTCTGAGGGTTCCCACCAGGTTCCCGCCTAGATGTGGTCGCCACGGCCAGGTGTCTGCCCTGCTCTGCAAGAGACGCTGCACCCGGAACCTGGCAGTGCACCACGCGGCGCTCAGGGATCTTGCCCGTGAGAACCACGCCTGCCTGCAGGTGGTGCCAGCCCCGTAGACGGCTGGGCCCTACGCCCTGTGCACGCTGAGACGCAAACCGAGCCTGCCCCATCCGCCACCGTCATTCTGTACAGACGCTACTCGATGACCCTGGGCAGGTGCTGGTGGGTGGGGGGAGCTGGCGGGGCTCGGGCCCTGGGAGGAGGCGCTCCCTCAGATGGGGGCTGCCAGGTGTTGACATCATGCAGTGAGCTCCCTGATGTGATGGGCGTGAGCCGCCTTCGCCTGTGGGGACACCCGTGTGTGCTGGGGCCAGGCGCAAGAGAAGGGCGTCTCGGAGCAGTGAGACAAGCAGCTTCCTGACTCGTACATCGGGCCCTTGGGAATCTGGCTAACGTGAGTCGCACCTACCCGGAGACCCTGAGGGAACCGTGTCTCTGGACAGGCAAAGCTGGCCCAGCTCCACCCCAGTGAGACAAGCCCTGGGGGGTTCCCGGGAGTCTCGGGTGGGCCAGGACCCCAGAGCCGCCCCCGTGGCAAATGGCCTGGCACTGGCATGTCGCACCCTCGGGGTTCAGCTGGGGCGGCAGCTCCTGAGCCCCGAGACAGGCTGATGGGCGGGCTGTGGTGGGAGATGACGAGGCGTGTGGGCCCCGGGTTACACGTGCCGACACTCAGTGCATGGTGGCATGACGCCCGCCAGCCCCGCCCAGGCACCCCAGGACCCGGAGGGACCCCAGTCCACGTCTCTGTCGCGAGTGTGGACGGCTCACTTCAGAGAGCACAGCGGCACATGCTCGGGGACAACAGCGCGGCGGGCGGCCAGCTTATCTCCCGACAGGCACCCGCGAGGCGGCCCCCAGGCCCGGCGTGGCCGCGTCTCCCGTCCCGCGTCAAACCCAGGAAGGGTCGCACTTGCCTTGAACGCCAGCCGGATGGTGTCCAGGGTCTGGGCGGGCCGGCAGACCACGGACAGGGCCACCACGTACTCCCGCAGGTCCACCTTGCCGCCGCCGCCCTGCGGGGAGAGGCTGTCAGGGCTGCGTGGCCGGCGCCACCGAGGGCCACCCAGCCCCGCCCACGTGAACCACGCGCGGGACGCGCAGCGGGAGAGCGTCCGTGACCCTCCAGCCGCAGTCTCCACGGTCTCCGTGCCGCGTGCTTTCTGGGCCGCTCTCCAGCTCTGACACGCCACGCGGCGCTTCTCAACAGAGCGCACGGGAAGTGAGGGCCGTCACCTGCGACGCGCGTCAGAAGACGGCAGCAAACGCGAGGCCGCGGGGCTCTGAGCACCCGTCTAGCCCGGCACGCGGCTGAGCCAGAGCCTGCGGCCAGCCTGGCACGGCAGCTGCGGTGCTCCCTGGTGGTGCTCCCCGGCGCTCCCAGGACGCGCTCGAGTCTCCTGCGGGGTGGCCCGGCACGGTGTGGCGCCAGGGCCAGCCGGGGCGCTGGGGGGGGGGGTGCTCCTCTGAGGGCCTCGCGGACGGTCGGGACACGCCTGCAGGCCTGCACCCAGGACAGGGCCACCCACCAGGGAGCACGCAGCGGGAGGAGCACCTGCGGCGGAGGGAGGACTCCCTGGGCAGAGAGGAGGAGGTGAGGAGCACTCCGGGGTGGAGGGAGGACTCCCTGGGCAGAGAGGAGGAGGTGAGGAGCACTCCAGGGTGGAGGGAGGACTCCCTGGGCAGAGAGGAGGAGGTGAGGAGCACTCCGGGGTAGAGGGAGGACTCTGGGCAGAGAGGAGGAGGTGAGGAGCACTCCAGGGTGGAGGGAGGACTCCATGGGCAGATAGGAGGAGTGAGGAGCACCAAATGGTAGAGGGAGGACTCCCTGGGCAGAGAAGTGAGGAGCACCCTGGGGTGGAGGGAGGACTTTGACACAGCTGTTGCCCCTCTACCCCGTGTGAACCACAGCCGTAGGAGCAGGGTGGGGCACACGCAGGTCCCTGGGGCTCTTCTCAGGGGGCAGGGCCACTTCCCCTGCGGCAGCCCCACACCGCCTCGAGGCCTGGGCACGGGGTGCGGGCGCGCTGGTGCAGGCAGCGAGTAGGTGCTGACCCAGCACCGTGAGCCCCGCTCTGGGAGGCGCCTGGCCTCGAGAAGAGGCCCCGTGGGTGGCCCGCAGGACACTCTCCCCCCCAAAGATCACTGTGAATTTGAAGCAGCAGAAAGCACAAAATCAACCACACACCCTGTCGTGAGTTTCCCGGGAACGCTACCCACGGAATCGGCATCCGCTGTTGCGTCTCTAAACCCGCGCCGGGAAGCACGGAGTGGAAACGCAGCCATAGCCGCCGCCCCTGCGGACGCCACCCGCACCAGACGCAGCTAGAGCTGCCTTCGTGCCGGGCCGTGCACAGCCGCTGGTCTGCAGTGGGGCCGCGGGTCACGGCGAGGGCTGCGGGTCAGTGGACGAGGCCCCAGTGTATGCGACCTGCAGACCCACGGGAGCCCGCTGGGCCCCAGCCACCGCCCTGCTCCTGCGGCCCACCTGAGCCCACGCCGCAGCTGCTCCTTGTTGGTCCCGAGAACACACCGTGTCGTCTCAGAGGACACGCCGTGATGCCATGCAAGGCGTGCCACGGTGTGGTCACGCGGGACATGCCGTGTCATCACAGAACATGCTGTGTTATCACAGACAACACGTCATGTAACACAGGACACACCGTGATGCCATGCAAGGTGTGCCACGGTGTGGTCACTCGGGACATGCCCTGTCATCACACAGAACATGCTGTGTTATCACAGACGACACGTCATGTAACACAGGACACACCGTGATGCCATGCGTGCCACGGTGTGGTCACGAGGGACATGCCGTGTCATCACAGAACATGCTGTGTTATCACAGACGACACGTCATGTAACACAGGCACACCGTGATGCATCAAGGCGTGCCACGGTGTGGTCACGCGGACATGCCTGTCATCACACAGAACATGCGTGTTATCACAGACGACACGTCATGTAACACAGGACACACCGTGATGCCATGCAAGCGTGCCATGGTGTGGTCACCGGGACATGCCGTGTCATCACAGAACATGCTGTGTTATCACAGACGACACGTCATGTAACACAGGACACCGTGATGTCATGCAAGGTGTGCCATTGCCACAGTTGTGATCACGCGGGACATGCCGTGTCATCACACAGAACATGCTGTGTTATCACAGACGACACGTCATGTAACACAGGACACACCGTGATGCCATGCAAGGTGTGCCACGGTGTGGTCACGCGGGATGTGCCAGGGCTCAAGGAGCCCTCCACGCACACCCCCACAGGGCCCACGGCACACGTATTGCTACCGCAACACAGACACGCAGGAGAGACCAGGCGTGGCGGTGACTGGCGGGCGTGGCTGCCTGCCCCAGCCCGTGTGCTGCCCACACCTTCCCGACCCTGAGGCCACCCACGTTTCCGGAGCCATGATAACATGATGGGACCACGTGATGGGACCGGGCAGGGCTGGTCTGGCGGGGCACTGTCACCAGATGGCCAAGGAGGGGACACGGCATTCAGAAGGCCTGGCCAAGCTGGCCAGCGGTGGCTGGGGGGGTCCCGTGGGGCTGGCAGGATGGACACGGCCTTTTGGCGCCATCAGGCCTCTTAGTTTAGTCTGAGTAAAATCTCCAAGAACGGCACGTTCATCAGCAAAGGGCACAACACGGGGGGAAACACCCATGGTGAGTGGCCCCTAGGGTGGCCCCCAGCTTCCGGAACTGTCTAAAGCACGTTTCGCCACAGCGCACACAGCTGACAGGCTGACAGTCAGCGGCCCGCACGCCTGCCCAGCCCCACCTCGTCAAACAGCGAGAACATGTCCTCCAGCGTGTCGGACACGGGCACCTCCAGGTACGCCGCGAACTCGGGGACCCCGATCTTCTCTCCTCTCCTCATCTTCGCGCTCTCTGAGTATTTGTCCAGATCTTTTTCAAGCTTTTCTGGTTTTAGCCTGGGGGGGAAAACCGCAGAATGCCAGCAAGAGAGTTACTGTGGTGTTTTAAGACTCGTCAAAATGTTAACCTTGTATACACAGTAGCAGGTGAGTCGTCAAGAGTGGGCACTCTGATGTCGTCTGGGCGTCTGCTGGGTGTCCCGCCCCTGGGGTCCCGGGGCGCCCTTGGGCCGGTGGTCGGGACGCACAGCGGCCACCTGGGGCGCGCGGGGCCCTTGCACAGAGCTGCTGCCAATCTCGAGCTTTAAAGACACTTCTATGTGAACCGGAGTCGATATTTGGAAACCAAAACCCAGACTAAGGCGTTGCTAAGAACTGTTTCCTTAACTGCCTGCCTCGGCCTCCGGCGGCCTCGGCTGGGCCTCGCAGCCCTGGTTCCGGTCCTCGCTTGGGGGACGGGACTCACCCCAGGCCCCGCACCAGCCGCGCAAATTCCAGGAGGCAGGTGTCGGCGGGGAGCCGGAGCTGTCCTTCCGCCAGGGCCAGCTGGCAGTCCTCAAACGTGTAGTCTGTCACGGAGACGCCCAGGGCCCTGCGAGAGAAGGCGGGAACCCGTCAGCCTGGCCCGGAGACGGCCCGTCCCACCGGTCCCTGGGAGCAGCTGTGCACAACCTGGTCACCTGCCCCCCGCCCCAGGCACAGGGCGGCCCGCTGGCCACCTGCCCACGCCCAAAGGAAAGTTCTAGAAATGGAAGAGGGCAGCAAGGGCGCCAAAACACAGCAGAGGCGCACGCTTTGCAGGGCACCACGTGGGTCTCTCCTAAATCAACTCTGAGAACAGAAGTCCCTGCAGTGGCCACTGATCGCACGTGGCCCATCTCGCTCCGGGACCAGCACGTGTCTACGCCGTGGCGTGGTCCACCCACAGAGCATGCACGTGTTGAAAGGTGCTTCCTCCCTCAGTGGAATCCAGACAGAAGCAGCTTTATCTGCCCAGTAAACAACGCTTTCACTGAGGTTTCAGCGTTTGTTACTTTGCAGTCCGCATAAAACATTATTATTATTTTTTGAGACAGAGTCCCACTCTGTAGCCTGGGCTAGAGTGCCGTGGCGTCAGCCTAGCTCGCAGCAACCTCAAACTCCTGGGCTCAAGGGATCCTCCTGCCTCAGCCTCCCGAGTAGCTAAGAACTACAGGCATGCGCCACCATGCCTGGCTAATTTTTTCTATATATTTTTAGTTGTCCAGCTACTTTCTTTCCATTTTTTGTTTTTTAGTAGAGGCAGGGTCTCACTCTTGCTCAGGCTGGTCTCGAACTCCTGAGCTCAGATGATCCTCCCTCCTCGGCCTCCCAGAGTGCTGGGATGACAGGCGTGAGCCACTGCGCCCGGCCAATTCTTAAGTTACACATTAAAAAAAGAAATTAATAGGAACACAGGTGGGGCCAAGATGAAAGTGAGAGTCGTGACTAGAACAGGTTTCCCGAGAGGAGAAATCACCTGATGGCTGTCAGAGAATCAGGCCAATTTCCTGCAGAAAAGCCCCGGGGGGCCCAGGGCTCAGCCAGTGGCATCGCCCTCAGTCAGGAGGGAAACGGACCCTCCCCGCAGGAGAAAACCGGCAGGAAGACCTTTGGAAACTAGCCTGAAGACACGTCTGACTAACAGCAAATCCTCGTCCAGCCCAGTTTTGAGGGGTTCGCCGGCCCCCTGTAAACCACCACTCTCCCCTCCCCCCACCAGCACAGTAGAGGCGATTTCCAGCAATTCCAGCAGAAAAAGTCTCGGGCAGCAGAAGAAACTCCCGCTGGAGTCCGCTTTCCTGTTTAAGTGACGCTGGGGAAGGCCGGGTGGGAGGGAGCTGCTGAAAGACCCCAGCCCCTCAGGAGAAGGGGTGCACCCCCAGCTGAGCCGGATGGACCAGCACCAGGCTGACCCCCAGCCCTGACCTCAGAGGAAGAGATGGGCCAGAGGCCGCCCCCAACCCCCTACCCAACCCCTCCCCAGTGGGCGCCCCCGGGAGGAGCCACGGGCACCACCGTGGCTTTGGGCAGGAGACGCCGTAAGAGAACCTACGGGAGCCCTGCAACCCCTGGCTGAGTCTTGTCGCACGTGTTCTCTTCCTCCCGTGTCCTAAGGGGCAGCCGGTGCCACAGCGGAAGCTCGGGCACAAGGGGCTGGGCGGGCCTGTCTGCTCCGGCTAAAGGATCGTGTCCCCGTTTCTGTTCTCGGGGCACATGCTCTGGGAGGAGGACAGGGAGTCTGCAGGGAAGGACGAGCCGGGCTGAGTCTGTGGTGCCGGCTGAGTGTGAACAAGGGCTCAGAAGTGAGAGGGGAGTAGCTGAGGGTGTGGCCGTGTCAGCGCCCCGGGACCTCCAGGCCGTCCCCACTGCCCAGACCCGACGCATCAGCAGTTCTGGGGTGCGGCAGGAACTGAGGCGGAAGAGCCTTCCAGGTGACTCCTGCAGGTCAGGTCTGAGGGCGGGGGCAGGACACTGGCAGGTGCACTTTCCTCGTGCTCCTGGCTGTCTGTCTGTCTGTCTGTCTGTCTGTGTTCAGCACAGAGCAGAGCTACAGCGCCGGGGAAGGCGGCGTCACTTACTCTGCCATGACGCGCCGCACGTTCCTCGCGTACAGCGCGGGGTTCCTCTTCTCCTCCTCGGAAGGGCTGTAGACGGGGAGGAACTGCGCACAGAGAAGCCGCGTTACTCCCACGAACACCACGAGACCCGACCTCGGCAACACCACCAAAACCCACAACGGCCAGTCTGACAAAACTAGCATCTGTCTGTGATGGTGGAATGAGTGACCTAAAACACCCTAATTTGCGGGGACTGCCACACCCCAGACTCAGGCAGGGGACCTTTGGCTCAGCCCTCTGTCACCGGAGTGGCTGGTCCCCCACGGACGCGAGCAGCCAGGCTTGTGCGTGTGCTCAGTATCACTGCAGCAGTGACGAGAAGCAGCGAACTGTTCTGTTAAATATTTAAGTTGCAGATGACTCATCTTTAATCTTCAGATGTAGGAATAGCATATTAGTTCCGCCTTTTAAGAAAAGAAGCTGTTCCTTCTCCACTCTGATAAAATTTTACAGGCTGCACCCATGTGACTCCTTGATTTAGCCAAGGTAGATGGGCACGGGGACCTGGAGACCCGCAGGCCGGAACCGGGCACTAGCGTCGGGCAAAACTAAACGCTAGAAAATCGTGCACTGCATATGTGCCAATTTAATATGTTCTTAAGTTCCAATAACCATAATAAAAGAATACGTTTAGTTTCCTTGATGATAAAAGTCTTGTCGAAATGGCTCAAAATACAAGAGACACAAAGTAACTGATGCAAAGTGACCGGGAAGCCCTTCCAGCCCTGAGTGACACCGTGTAACATTGTGTCTAGACGAGTTCCAGCACAACATTGTATCCGCGTAAATCGCAGCATAACACTGTACCTTACACACACACACACACACACACACACACACACACACACACACGAATACTATACACTGTACCCTATACAATGTAACACCGTGCAACACTGTAGCCGTACACACCTCAATCTCCACTTGATTGTGAAACTGACACAGCGTGAGCCACAGGATTTCCAACCTTAAAAACAACACATTGGATGGATTTACAAGACTGGTTAAATAAAAGGCACGATTCCTAATTCCTTGTAGTTTAATTACTTCAGTTCTCTCTGGACCCGAGGCCCCTAGAGGGCGCCACCGGGCAGTTGTCTCCCTTCAGAGCCGGGCGCTGAGCCGTCCACACCACCCGGAGTGAAACGGCTACTTTTCTAAAACAGCCGTCTTCACTTTTCTTACTAAATACCTGCCTACATCTCTGGCTCGTCCAGCAAACCGGCATCTCCCCGTCTGCCCCGCGGCTGGGGAGACCTTGCCCGCCCCGCCCCGCCCCTCCGCCCTCCAGACGGCACTCCTGGGACCTGGAGCTGCTGCTCCCTCTCCAGTTTGTGCCCCTGGGGCTGCGAGTCGCTGCACAACTGTCTTCGGAGTCCGTCGTGGGGACAGGGACACTGACCACAGCAGGTGCCGTGCCCGCACCGCACACAGGGGCCCCGGGACACCCCGAATTTCTGCCTCCTTTGCCAGGGGCCACTGGGCGGGTGACAGTGATTGCTGGGCCGACAGACCCGAGATGGGGGCGGCGGCTCGCTGCCTCCCGCTGGAGCCGAAGACACCAGCGGAGGTCCCCGTGAGGGACGCTCTAGGGAGTTAGGGCAGGGTCACATGCCCACACGCAGTTTTCACAGCGGGCCGAACCCAACTGCTGCCAAACCACAGCTCCCAGAGAGCGGCAGCCGGCAGGGCACGGGCAGCCGCCTGCACAGGAGGAGAGGCAGGGAGGACACAGGTCTCTGACTTACGCTCCAGGTCCTTGCCACGTCCACGTGATGGTGTCCTGGGGAGGAAAGAGCAGCACCCGTCAGGACGGGGCCTGGCATCGGGTGAGCGGCCTCCCCCGCCCACCTCCGACCCCACTGTGCGCTGGGGCAGGGGAGGGGGAGGGGTGCGCTCGCCCCGGTGCCCAGAGCCCCTGAGGACCCAGGCCCCCTTCCTCACAGCCCCCAGGACCCCCCTTTCCCTGCCGTCCCTTCTGGATCCTTCTCAGCCGGGAGCCCACCCAGGGCTGCCCAGGGGGCGTCCGGAGCCCCGGCCCCAGCCCGGCTGGCCCGCTGCGCTGCCAGGGCCCAGAGGGCAGGTGCTGCTTTTGCCCGACTGCGTGACCGCCACCTCACACAGGAGGACGCCCCGCTTCTCTGCAGCCGAGCTGGCTGCTTGTGGGAGAGGCCAGGTAAAGCCACGTGGCTTCAGACACGTTGAAACAAGCTTAAAGTCTAGATTTCCACACAGGTTGCAGATTCTCTCACTCTTGCCGGGAGCTGCATCTGGGTGTGGTTTCTGCCCGGGGGCAGGGAGGGCCGGGGTCAGCCCCGGAGCATCAGTTACACACGGCCAAGGGTCCCGCCAGCCTGCCCGGCTGCGCCCGGCTGCCGTTTCATTAGCTGACGGCTCAGAGACCCTCTGCTGGGCAGGTGCACACGACACCCCTCCTGGCAGGGGATGGACGAGGGCACGGGGTCCGGGTGCAGACCCCGACACCCAGCAGGCCAGGCCCTGTGGCGGGTGGGCTGGAAACCCCTGGTACCCACACGGGTACCACACGGGCCGCTGGTGGGTGCCCTGCCCTTACACCACATCGTGGGGACCTGCGAGTGTCTCAGGGAACTTCCCCTCGTGCCATGAAGGCAGACTGCCGCACACACGCGCGCTGCGTGAACAGATTCGCCTTCCCGGGCTCCTCCAAGCGGTGGGTGACTCCCCCGAGAAGTGCACAGCGTGCCCAGTGCCCGGCCAGGGCGCCAGGGAACTTGCGTCCACATGAACTTTCTGTTGCAAGGGCCCGTCGGGGCGAGGCCGTGTGCTGGGCAGGGTGACGGCAGACGGCAAGACGCAGTGAGGGCCTCTGGGGCCTGGGGCTGGGGCTGACCCTGCCTGTGTGACACGGGCCTCCCGGCACCGAGGGAGGAGCTGCCACTGCAGCCTTCGGGCGTGGACAGAGCCCGGGGCGGGAGGCGGGGGCCAGCCTCGGGTGGGAGGGGCAGGGCCTGGCCAGAGCCTGCTCTGAGGCCTCATCCGCACCCCCAACCTCCCCGGGAACCCTGAGCCCCAAACACCCCTTCTTCCATTTTGTTCTTTTAAAACGAACCCTGTGTGCTGATGGAGGCAGACAGAGGCTCATTAACTGTGAAGTCACCTCCTCTCCCTCCTGCTGCCTCCGTCCCTCCGGAACTTAAATGCTCCTAATTTAAAAATTGTCCGGAGGCTGCGCTGGGCTTCTCGAGCTGCTCGGGACACGGGCGTGGGGGGGGGCCTCTCCCCAAAACCTCAGGACTGGTCTCACAGGGGGAGAGGCCGCTGCTCACGCCCTACGACAGCAGGATATTTTCTTCGCGTGCGACTACTGAGGGCTGTTTTACAATCACGGGGTGTATCAGAAACACGTCTGCAGGGCAGGCCGCATTTGGGGCGCCACGCCCGGGCTGAGGCTGCACGCCGGCTCAGCCACCGCTGCAGTCTGCGCGCTCCGTGCACTGCCGCGGTACGGACGGAAGACGCAGAGCCGCGGGGACGCGGCGCACCGAGACACCTCGGAGCCCTCCTTCCGGCCCACTCGCCTCAACACGGACCCCAGAAACTGCCACTCACCAGCTTGTTTGGGTATCGCAGGACCACAGGCTGGACGGGGACTCCGGGGATGAACGCACCTGCCGGGGGAGAAGGAACAGCTGCCGTCTCCGCGGCAGCAGGCGACGAGGAAGGCAGCCCTCCCCCGCGCTTCTCACACCGGGGACGGACGTGCGGAATTCTAGGCGAATTCGCCACGGAAAGCGAGGGCAGTGGGCTCTGCCCCGCCCCAGCCCCTGCAACCCTTCCACCGCCAGGGGCTCGGGCCCCGACCTCGACCGGGCACCGCTGTGGGGGGTGCACGTTTATGGGCCCTGGTCCCCCCACGACGGGGAGGGAGCACCGTCCGCCTGGGGCTCTGGGGACGGCTCGGAGCTCCGCCCCTGGGGTTCCCGGGGCTGCGGGGGCAGCTGCAGATGGGCACAGGGCACTCGGAACCCGCAGGCCCCAGGCGCCGCGAGCCAACACGTGGGCACGGAGGCGCCTTCCAGACCCAGGACCCCCACGAACCTGGAGCCCACACAAAGCAAAACCTCCACCTCCTTACACGCTTGCAGAGTGACTTCTGCGCCCTCCTGAGGCACCGTGACCCTGGCCTCGGATAACGAGACTCCTTTTGTGAGTCTTCTCAGGCATATTCCCAAGAACCCGGCACACGGGAGGGAAGCAGACACTCGGCCAACACCTACCGGGCTTGAAGGTGATGAGGCAGGTCCGGTTCGTGCAAGTTCCTTCCGGGAAAATCATTATCTGGAAATGCAGAGAAGAGGTGAGTGTCAAACCACACGTCACTACGATCCGCACTCCACAGGCTCCGGTCTCCCCAGCACATGCCCGCTCTGGGGGAACGACTCAGAAACTTCGATCACACTCGGTCGGGAAACTGGAAATGTGCTGTGGGCTCACTGGTCTCCACTCTGCGGGTTTCGCTGAAACCCGGAAGCAAGGCAAACATACAGACAGACAGCCGTAGGATGGCTCACACCTGTAATCCTAGCACTCTGGGAGGCTGAGGCGGGAGGATTGCTCAAGGTCAGGAGTTTGAGACCAACCTGAGCAAGAGCAAGACCCTGTCTATATTAAAGATAGAAAGAAATTAATTGGCCAACTAAAAATACATAGAAAAAAAAATTAGCTGGGCATGGTAGCACATGCCTGTAGTCCTAGCTACTCGGGAGGCTGAGGCAGGAGGATCGCTTGAGCCCAGGAGTTGGAGGTTGCTGTGAGCTAGGCTGACGCCACGGCACTCACTCTAGCCCGGGCAAAAAGTGAGACTCGGTCTCAAAAAAAGAAGAAAAAACCCAGCTGTATCTGCTTAGACCGTGGCTCCCGGAAAACAGGTCAGTGTGGTGCCCGCCCCACGGGCACTGTGAGGATCAGGTTCAGCTAGATGTCAGCGCTCTCAGCGCAAAGCCGGCGTGGGGAAGAAAGCTCGGAGAACAGAGGCGCCTGGGTGGGAGCACACCCCCAGCCGGAACCGAGGGGCCCCCAGGAGGAGCCGGATCGGCAGCTGCTGTGGTCCAGACTGACTTGATTCAAACTTCCCACACGCTGGACAGCAGCCACGCGCTGCTCTCGGTCCTGGGTGCAGCCTGAGCACCCGAGGGCCGGGCAGGTAACGTGGGTGCAGGGACCAGTGCCGGGGCGGCAGGGGGCATCCTGGGAGTCAGGCCCCCTAGGGGGCTGCCCTGGGCACAGGTGGCCGTGGGCCCGCCCCTGGCACGTGTCCCAGAGTGGCCTGTGAAATGTCCAGCTTCTAATGTCAGCCCGACTAAAAAGAAGAACAGAACGTGAACCAAACGCAGGCATCTAAGCTGACATCGCCAACGGCGCACCTACAGCGCAGTCAGCCCCACTCTCGACCCAGGGAAGGGCACGCGGACGTTAGCAGCGAGAGAGCACAGGCTGACGCGGTGGCTCAGGAATCAGATCGTACCCGGAGGGCGGGTTGGCCGGGCTCCAGCCCAGTGAGAACTTACTTTCAAAAACGAAGACTCAGGAAACTGACATGCACTGGAGAATCATTTCCCTTATTTTCACTTTAAAACCCAGACACCAAAACCAAAAGCACCTGCTATTTAGCACGTCCTTGCATTCGCACATTCACCAAAACAAACAAGGAAGCAAGACCTGCACCCAGAGACAGAAAGTCGGCCCCTTGTTTAGTCTCCCCCACCCTCGGAGTCCACACCTTGGAACAAGCCCTCCTGGCGCGCCCGGCTGGGTTACCTGCGGCCACTTTCCGCCGGACTGTGCGCGTCGCTTGATTTCTTCCACTGTTTTCCTGCGAGAGTCCGGGTCGGAGCGGGACACGAACACCGGCCGGATGTACCTTATCAGAGCTGGGGAGAGGGGGCGAGGGGTCCCGTTGGCATTCGTGGCCTCTGCCAGGCAGGTCGGGGGTGCGGGGAGGCCGCCCACGTGCCTGGGAGACGGGAGACCCCAGGGCCCCCCGTGGGCTGTGCTGCCGGGTGGGTTCCGAGTCTACGCCTGACCCCGTGGAGAACAGGGAGGTCGCCCAGCCTTCCAGCGACTTCACGGGACAGCAGGGAGCCCTGTGACCTGCCGGCCAAAGGTGATAAAACACGAGAGTCCACGGGACGGTGGAGCAGGACCAGGCCCACGGAACGACAGCCCGACCCACTGGGGAGGCCACTGCGCTAACAGAGCAATGTCCAGGACCCCTCCCCTGTGTGGGCGGAGCTGCGTCCCCTAAAAGAGAAGCTAACGTCCTCGCCGCGTCCTGTGACTGAGCCCTCACGTGGAAGTGGGGGCTGCCGACGGTCAGGTCAGGACCAGGTCACCTGGGATTAGGGTGGGACCCATCCCACGCCCGCGTCCTTGTCAGACAGGAGGGGAGACGGGGGGAGAGGCCACGGGGGAAGGTGGTGGACGGAGTGACGTGGCCACAGTGCCGAGGGTCACAGCGGTGCCGGGAGCTGGCAGAGGCACGGAGCCTTCCGGAGAGCCCAGGTGGCCGGCACCTCCGTTCTGGGAACCCGGAAAGTGAGAGCAAGTCCCTGTGGTTTAAGCCGCCTGGTGGCCCTTTGCACGAAACTCCCAGGGCCTCAGCTCCCGCCGGCGCCACACGACCCACACGGTCAGGGTGGGGCGGCCCAGGACCCCCGCTGCGTGAGGACGGCCCCCACCAGCCGACCCACAGCCGCGGCCACAGCACCGTCCTTTCTCCGGAGGAATGAAAGCGGAAAGACGCTTCTCAGAAGAGCGGGCTGAGCAGACCTCAGAGCTCCGTTGTGGAGACGCGATGGTGAGCTGGACGCCCGCCCGCCAAGCGCCCGCCAAGCGCCCGCCGAGCGCCCGGCCCTCCCACTCTGCGCGTGCCAGCCTCCCCGGACCCCAGGCAGCTCCGTGTCTCTCTTCCTAGCCTTTTCACTGCTTGTCAGGAACAGCATTCGTGCTTCCAAAGTCCTTCCTGGAGGCCTTCCAAGGGGCAGCAGAAGGTTGCACAGAAAACAAGAAGAAAATTCTAGTCTTGCGATTCTCCGTTGGGTCCACGGACGATGGACACGGAGCTCAGTGACCTTATTTTCCCCGAGGCTTGAGCCGTTTTGCTATTTCTCTGTGCTCGGAGCTGGTCACCCTCACGCGTCGGTTATTCCCGACTCCGCTGAGGACGACAAACGGGAAGCAGGAACGACAGAGTCACCCGCAAGGACGGCCACCTGGAGCGGAGTGAGTGACCGGTCGAGGGTCCCCCTGCTGTGCCCAACGCCTGGCGCCGTCTTCCCGGGGACCCGGGCCAGGAGGCATCGCCGCTCTGCTCCCAGTCTCGGCCACGACACTCTGCACGCCACCGTGTAAGGAGGGCTCGGCACTTCCACGGAGAGGACCAGGCGGAAGCTGCGTGTGCGGGTCTGGGCTGAGCTGCGTAAGTGTCCGGGGTTGCCAGCGTGGGCTCTGCGTGCGGTGGAAGGGGTGGGGGCTCTGCCACCACCTGTCACCCCTGGCTGGGCCACCACCCACGCTGCGACCAGGGCCACGACCCACCTCCCCGGGAGCGGAGGGACGAGCGCCTGCCCCCAGAGAAGAGGCAGGCCAGGGTCACAAGCAGGGGGCTGCTCGGAGTCGGGGTCACCAGGCACTGGCGCGTCCCCTTCGTGGCCATTACGGATGTCGCCCTGAGTTGTGGCAACGTGTCCACAGCCGTGTGTCTGCAGTCACTCTCCGGGAGACAGGCAGGCAGCAACTCGGCCAGGGCTACAAACCCACGGGAACGTGAGCGCTGGGCTGCACAGGGAGACGACGTCCCAGTCCTGCCCTCGGCTCTGCCCCCACACTGCCAAGATTCCCTCCACGGTCCGCGGAGGTGGGTTCAGATCCGCAAGGTGATGGCGTTAGGGGGTGGGGCCTCTGGGAGGCCACGAGGTCCCAGGGTTGGAGCCTTGTGATGGGGTCCGTGACCTTAGGAAAGGTGACCCCAGGGAGGGACCCCACCCCTCCTCACGTGAGGACACACGCGGAAGATCAGCCGTCCGTGCAGCAGGAAGTGAGTTCTCCCCAGACACCGGAGCCACGCCTGGATTGTGGACTCCCAGCCTCCAGAGCTGCCAGAACTAAACTCCTGTTGTCCAGACGCCACCAGACTGCGCTATTCTGTCCCAGCAGCCCGGAGGGGGGCACTACGGCAATTGGGGTGTGGACGTCTGTGCTGGCAAATCACGGGCACAAGACGCCTGTTGGATCTGGATGCTCCGTGGTCAGGGAGGGCAGCAGGGACGGAAAGGGAAGGGGAGGGTGTTCTGGGGAACACACGTCAGCCTCTCGCCAACACCGGGAGACCTCGACGCAGAATCCCAGGGTCACTGCTTCATCCGGCAGCGAGGAAAACTGCCCCGCAATGCACCAGAAGCGTCCAATCGCAGCCAATCAAATAGACACTGCTCAGCATCTATTTTGCAAACAGCACACCCTATGCTAGATCCCTCCCAAAACATCCTTCCTATTAGAAAGAAAAATGAAATCTACGCAATATTCTCCAGGGAACCAGCACACAGGTGCTCACGCTGTAGGAGCTGTGTGCAAACTCGGAGAAGGTGCCACCAAGGGCTCGGACTCCAAGGATCTGGCCAAGGAGACGCCCTTCTGCCCGGGCAGCTGTCACCTAGAGCCCTGCTCTCCGCCCGCCAGGCCAGCCCTGCCCCAGGCCCGGGAAGGGACCTCGAGGACAGAGCGCTGGCGGGGCCATGTTGTTCACGGGTGGGTGCTTTCATCCTCAGTGTGAGGGGCTGCTCGGGGTGTCCGGGGCTCCCCAAGGCTCTCACAGAGCAGCAGGGTCTGTAGGGGACTGACATATATTTTCCTAGTTTAAGAATTAAAGTTAGTGAGTAAGGTACGTGCTTTGCCCAGAGCATTTAAAAGTAATATGTTCCGGACAAGGCCCCTGTTGCTTTGAGGAATAACAAAAACAAGGTGTTGCCTAGAGGCATAACACACTAAGTAAGCAAGAGCTACCCCACCCCATGGCATTGGGGGTTTGGAGGCCACACGATAAACACATTGGTCCTGTGATTGCTGCGTAAATGGCTGGTTAGTCAATGACGGGTAAGAACCCTCATGGAAGGGGCGACCTAAGCCAGGCCCAGTTGCCGGGGTTCAGCCGAAGATCTTAGGGGTCACTCTAAGAGAAGCTGGGGATGAGAAATGCCCCCTGTGGCTCACCTTGCCCATCCTTGCTAATCTTGGTCCGTGATCTATGCCTGGCGCCTAGAGCAACCACCTGGAAACCTTGAGCCAGGGGATATCTGCTTCCCTAAGGCTACGTATTCTGGAATTTATGGCCATTGCTGCAATGCCTGGGCGGTTACGTACAAGGAACTAACTTCGATCGTTTAGAGTATAAAAATAAAACTGACCCAGTGTATTTTTACTCGAGTCAACCGTTTGTACATGTGTCCGTGTTTTTCTTTGTGTTCTGCGTTTGTGTTTTGTGTTCTGTGTTCATCCTCCGTCCTGTCAACGGGCCACGACAGGGTCAGGGGTCCAATGGCAGCCCCCACAAATGTGTCCGTGTCCTGACCCCCGGAACCGGTGACGTGGCCTTAGTTGGAGAAAAGGTCTTTGCCATTAGCTAAGGATCTCAGGATGGGGCCATCCTGGATGACCCAGTGGCCAGTCCTGCTAGGAGACACGAGGAGGGGACTCACGCAGGGAGGCCCTGGGATGGCTGAGGCTGGGCCGCACGGCCTGCAACCCAGGACGGCCCCCGAGGCTGGGGGAGCCGGAAGGTCCTGCCTGGAGCCTGGGGACAGGCTCAGCCCATACTCGGAAGTGACAGAGGACGCACTTCTGCTCCGCTAGGCGCCCAGCACTGGCGTTGGTTAAGGCAGCCCCGGGACACGCAAGCCCCCGGCTAACAGCACCCACACGGGGGTGGGGACAGCCTCACCGAGCTGCCCCTTCTAGAACTGCAGTCTGATAAAGGTGGCGGGTCCTTGCTAAACAGACCCGAGTAAGCACTGCACGTGGAGTGACGCTGAGCACACTTGCTGCCAATAGAAGTGGAACCACACAATTAACATCACAGGAAACATCACAGCAAAGAAAATGGGATGCAAGGCCGGGTGCCCACCTCGTGTGGGCGTGACCCACGTGGGCAGGCTGTGTTCTCACGGCAACCATTCCCACGGTAACCATGGCAAGGCTCACTCCCGGGAGGGGGTCACTCCCTTGTGTGGGGGAGAGGTCATTTCTGGGCAGGTCGTTCCCTGAGGGGGAGAGGTCACTCCCTGGGGAGGGTCTCAGCCCCTGGGGGGGGTCTCAGCCCCTGGAGTTTCTCACTCCCTGGGGGGGAGAGGTCACTCCCTGGGGGGGAGAGGTCACTCCCTGGGGGGGAGAGGTCACTCCCTGGGGAGGGTCTCAGCCCCTGGGGGGGGGTCTCAGCCCCTGGAGTTTCTCACTCCCTGGGGGGGAGAGGTCACTTCCTGGGGGGGGTCTCAGCCCCTGAGGGGGGTCTCAGCCCCTGGGGGACTCACTCTCTGGGGTTTCTCACTCCCTGGGGGTGACTCCCTGGGGGGACTCACTCCCTGGGGACTCACTCCCTGGGGGGACTCAATCCCTGAGGGTCATTCCCTGGGAAGGGTCTCAGCCCCTGGGGGAGGGTCACTCCCTAGGGGTCACTCCCTGGGGGGACTCAATCCCAGGGGGTCACTCCCTGGGGAGGTCTCAGTCCCTGGGGGGGCTCACTCTGTGGGGTTTCTCACTCCCTGGGGGGGAGAAGTCACTCCCTGGGGGGTCTCAGTCCCTGGGGGGGCTCGGTCACTCCCTGGGGGGCTCGGTCACTCCCTGGGGGGCTCGGTCACTCCCTGGGAAGGGTCTCAGCCCCTGGGGGAGCTCACTCTCTGGGGTTTCTTACTCCCTGGGGGGGGGAGAGGTCACTGCCTGGGGAGTCTCAGCCCCTGGGGGGGGCTCACTCGCTGGGGTTTCTCACTCGCTGGGGTTTCTCACTCCCTGGGGGGGGGCTCCCTGGGGCTCACTCGCTCCGTGGTGGGGGATGGGGGCATTGGGGGCCGCTCCTACCCAGTGGGGGGGCGGGGACTCACTCACTTCCCCAGATCGGGATGTCTCTGCTCTCGGCCTTCATCACGATGGAGGACATCGTCATGGTGACGGGGATGGCGTCGAAGTAGGAGGAGTGTGGCGCCAGCGTGAGGATGGCCGCCTCGGCGGGGGGCGCGCGCCGCCCCTTCACGGTCACCCGGTGGAAGCCGCCGGCGAACCACATGGTGCGCATGATTGCCTTGAGCAGGAAGTCCACGACCCTGCAAGGGAGGTGTGCGTCAGGCTGGGCGGGGGGTACGCCGGCGGGCACCGGGCATCCCGCCGCAGCCTCTGCCCAGGGCGGGGGGCACGGGCCGGCCGTGGGGCGCCTGCGGGAGCTGCTGGGACCGCGGTGGAGGGAAGCAAAGGATACCAGGCTCTCCTCCCCCACCGCACGCCCAGCGCTTTCCCGCTGACGGGCGGTGAAGGCTGCGCGTGCTGCTCTTGGCCCAGCCGCCCGGCGGCGCCCGCGCCCGACGCCTGCAGAAAAGCCGCAGGCCGGACGACAGACCGCCGTGCGCCCAACACCACAGTGTTCTCGTCAGCACGCGTGCATGAAAACACATCAGAACACTCGAAATGCACGCTGAAACACGGAGAAGCCCGGAGGTGAGGGCGGGAGTGGGGACCTGCCGGAAACTTCCCTGGTGTTTTCGCCCAGGACGCCCAGGGCTCCCGGAACCAAACGGGATGTTATTAAAATGAGCCGTTTCCGGAAGAAATTTGGACAAGAACTGTAGAAAATAAGGCAAGACCCAGCCTAGATAAACTGAATTTGTTGCCTATTTATTTCTTGTTAAATATGCAGGAACTGAGACATTTGAACGTACACACTTCCCTTCACGCTAATCTCTGACAAGGCCACACGCCAGAGTGTCCCTGCAGCGACCCGGGTGGGGCGGCCCTGGGGACAGAGGGTCACAGGCCACCGCGCCTCCGTCCCCACAACAAGGTTCCCCCTTGCCGAGAGCCGCATCTCGTTCAGCCGCTGGGTCGGGTGGGTGACCCCGCTGGGTAAGTCCCTGCGCAGGTGAACAGGAGCCTGGAACCTTACGGCGTGGTTTTCCCGAGGGACCGAAACCGTCTGGGGAGAACCTGTGTGGTGGCCGGCCTGGAGCCACCTGGAAAAGACCTTTGCTTATGGGGACGATGAACCGCCGGTGCTCGGGTCACACCTGGAGACACTGGGACCACGCCTCGACACTCTGCTTCCGGGGCCAGGTGTGACGGCACAGGTGTGCACTTTTCCGGGTGTTTCACAATAACGAATGCACAAAGGCAAAAGCCAAGGGACGGCAACTGATGCCCGAGGAGGGAGAAGCGAGGCCGCAGCGGGAGCAGGAGCCAGTCCCGGGAGGCAGGTTCAGGCAGGAGGAGCGGAGAGTTGGGGAAAGCAAGGCTTGGGCCATGGTCCTCCTCTTAGGGGGACACCGCCAGCCCTCGGCAGGTTGGCACCCGCACAAACGTGCTGGGCGTGGGGCAAGTTCAACACCGCACCTGACCCAGCTCTTCCCTAAGGACCTGCAGGAATCCACACCTGTCAACTCGCACCGGGGAAGGGCCAGACTGTGGGTGGGGGCCGCAGAGGAAAGCTCTGCTCCCTCTGGGGGGGCCCGGCACCCGTCACCCCCGGCGACGGCGACAGGCCCAGGCCCCGCGCCCCGGCAGCCTTGTTTCCAGGGAAAGAGAATCGGAGAAAGACCCTTACGCCCAGGAGCGGGGACCTGCCCAGCTCCCCGGAGCCCCCGCCCCATCCTACGCTCCCCAGACGCCCAAGGACCCCGGGTGTGTGTGCAGAACCAGCCACGCGGCACGGGAGCTGAGGACTGACCTCGAGGGACAGCGCGGGGACTGCAGGAGGGTTAAGGAAACTGGTCACTCTCCTTGTCACACTGAGGTGCTCTGGGGAGGTCGGGGACAGGACAAGACGACCCTCTCGGAAACCCGAGTTCTCACTGCAGAGATGGTCACCCGCTAGCAGGGCCAGACAGCGGGAAGAAATCTACCAGAATATGCGGGCAAAAGAGGGGAGACCCACGGGTACCCGAAGAAAAGTTCTCCGAGTCGAAGAAAGACCCGGCTCCTCAGCACCAAGGGAAGGTGGGAGCAGAACAAATTTTTCGAAAAAAACTCATTCTTAGAAGTTCCCTTTGCGAATTCTTTAAGTCGCCTCATCCTTCAGGGACAGAGGGCAGGCCGGTGTGCAGGGGCCGGGTGGGGGAGCCTGTACCCCGAGTGTCGACAGAGACCACGGACCTACACGTTTCAGACGGTTCTGCCATGAAGGGTGCCCGCAGGGGAGGCAGCGGCCCTGGGCGTGTGACCAGACTAGGGCGGGCACTGACCAGAGAGGAGGGTCCCGGGGCCGCACCGGGCTGCAGACACCCGGCGAGGTTGAGCTGCGGCTGGAAGCGGAGAAAATGGCTTGAAGTTCCCACCTCAGCCGACCTTCACGGGGTACCCAGAGTCGTCACGGGGACGGACTGCACACGGTGGAGACGGCGTCCCCACACGCAGCACTCGGGAAGCGGACCTTCCCTAGCCGTCCAATCTGCGAGGGGCGGCCCCCAGACCCCACCACCTGCGCCCCCAGCCCTGCTCGGGACTCGGCCCGGGCAGAGAGTCAGCCGCACGATGGGCCCTGCAGAAAGGAGCTGCGGGTTTGCACTTTGTGTCTTAGAACAAGCGCCTCTGGTGAAACTGTGTCACTCTTTCATGGGAAGCCTGAGATTTTATTTTAGGAAGGTCTGAGTGACACCCACTTACTTTCAGCCAAAGTCCCCTTTAATCCGGCGACAATCTTCTCAAACCGCACGGCTCGCACGGTGCGAAACAACTCGGGACCCCGACTGCGCGGTGGTCACTCGGCAAGCGTTGCTCCGAGTCCCTTTCTTCAAAGCCTGCTTTTGCTGCTCCCGGGTCCCGACCTAAGGCGCTGCTATCTCTGCGTCCCCAGCTGGGGACCAGGGCTGAGCACCTCCTGTTTCCTGATGCCCTGCGAGTGCCAGGCCCAGGCCCAGGCCCGCGAGAAGCGGGTTTTCAATAAACACTGCTCAGTGGTGACGCCACGGCCGTGGGGTGGAGAGTCGCTGCCCTTGGCGTGTGCGGCTCAGGTGCACGCAAGTACGCTCACACTCTTGCACAAACACACATATGTTCTCATACACATACACACACAAGTACGCTCACTCTTGTACAAACACATGCACACTCACACATACACCCTCATGTACATACACACACTTATACATGTACACATAGGCATGCTCACACTCTTGAACAAACACACACATGCATGCTCACACACACACTCATATCCATACACACATACACATGTACACACAGGTACGCTCACACTCTTGCACAAACACACATGCAAACACACGCACACTCTTATATACATACACACACATACATATACATGTACACACAGGTATGCTCACACTCTTGCACAAACACACATGCACACTCACGCACACACACTCTCATATACATACACACATACACATATACATGTACACACAGACATGCTCACACTTGCACAAATACATGCACACTCACACACACATATGCTATCATATACATACACACATACACATGTACACACAGGTAGGTTCACACTCTTTCAGAAACACACATGCACAAACGCTCTTATATACATACAAATACACACATACATATACACGTACATGCAGGTACTCTCAGACACTGTCACACACATGTACACATAATACACTCGTACATGTACACATACATAACACACAGTATACGTACATGCAAATGCACTCATTCACATATATGTACACATTAACACCTCCACATGTGCACACATGTACATACTCATATGCATACCCATACACACATATACTCCCCACATATGTACACTCCCATATGCATACATACTTTCTCATATAAATACACATGTACACACATACACTCACACACAGACATGCACACACATGCACTCTCACATACATGTACACAATATACTCTCATGTACATACACATACTCTCACACATACCATATCTCATACGTGGATGCACACACACCCTCATTCACATACATGTACAGTCACACGTGCACACACGTACACTCTCATGCATGCGATGCACACATGCACGCACACACACAGAATGCTACGCAGCTAGTTTCTGCAGACCCTGATGCTCAAAGCTCTCATAAACTGAGGCCACGAGAAATCCTGGCCTTTCACTGCCACGGGACACGTCACACGGGCACACACACGCATCTGTGCGGGGCTGTGCGAAGGGAAGTTGCCATGGACCCGTCACCTGGGGAGCGGAGGACCTGACTCCTACACCAGAAAAGCCACCTCCGGGCTCAGCACGGGGAAAACAGAGCAGCCCGACGCGTCCCTTTTGCGAAGCCGGGGCCGCGCCCCAGAGGACTCCGCGTCACGGGGCAGGGGCGGAAGACAGGAAGCGCCGGGAAGGCTTCCCGAGCTGTCGCTGCTAAGAACCCGAGTGTTTACTCAGGTCTCCAGCCGCGGCCCCAGAGGGCAGGGCTGGGATCGCTGCCCAGACCCGCTGCTCCGCCGCGTCGGCCAGAAACAGGGCTCTGCTGACAAACCGCCCGGCCCTCACCACGCGGCAACCTGTTCACATAGCCCACGCTCGCCAAACCGGGTGGCAGGTGGCACCTCGGCGGCCCCCAGCGGCCGTTCCCACAGGGGCTGCCCCTCCCGCCCACAGCACCTGGGAGGTGCAGGCACCTGCGTGGGGGCACTGAGCCGGGCCCCCCAGCAGAGCCGGCAGCACCGCGGCGCCCGGTGCCCGCAGGGCCAGGGCCGTCCACTCACAGCCGGGCTGGGAGACCACGGCGGTAGAGCCAGAGCCGAGGGCTTGGGCGGGAGGGGTGTCTGGCTGTACAGGCCACCTCGCTGGGGAGGGCGGCCCAGGAAGGCTGGAGCTCAGTCTACGAGGAGGAGCCAGGGAACGTTCTGGGGCAGAGGGCCACGGGCGGGGTCTCTGTGTGCGGGAAGCTGGCATGGCACCACGCAGCCCTCACAGCCCGGGGGACGGAGCCTCAGAGCAGGGCCAGGGGGGCAGGGCCAGGCGGCCAGTTTCAGAGAGGAGTGGCGGGGACAGCAGTGCCCCGCAGGACGCTGCGCTCGGACGGAAGGTGGACAGGCCCCAGGCAGACCGACAGGGCCTCCTGCAGGGGTGGACCCACGGATGCCGGCTGCCGGACCCCCGGCCCGCCCAGAGCCCGGGGCGCCTGTGACTCACCTGCGCCACAAGGCCAGGGGCTGCTCCGGCTCCTTCTCAGCGGGTCCCAGCGAGGCAGCGAGCGCGAAGGGCCAGGCCAGCAGCATCATGAGGGCCGCCAGGAGCAGCCGCACGGGGAACAGCGTCAGCGTCATCACAGCCACCTAGGAGGGCAGAGGGACATCAGCTGCGGCACGGGCCGGGGTGCCACTCGGCTCCACTCCGGGCATCCCTGACCACACTTCTTGGGAGGTCAGCAGCGGGGTGGCGGGGGGGAGCCGCAGCCTCTCCTGCAAACTCAAGGGCGCCCCGCCCCCCGGGGCTCAGGGGTCCCCGGAGCCTCATCCAGCATGGAGTCCCCGAGACCCTTCACGTGGACACGAGGGCCGGAAGCAGCCGCCTGTGACGCCGGACGCTGGCTGCTCTGGAGCGTGCAAGGCTGGACCTCGGACCACAGAGAAGACACGGACGAGGGTGGGACCGACCGGCCCAGGGAAGACTCGGGCAGCAGAGCGGGCTCGGCGGGCCAGGAGCCCAGGACGGAGGGGAGCCCAGGACGAAGGGGAGCCCGCGCCAGGCCCGTGCAGAGTCTGCAGGACCAGACGCAGTTGCGGGTGCTGGGCGGGAGGTCCGTGGAGGGTGCGTGGGGGCTCCGTGGGGTGCAGACCCTCGAGTCAGGGCAGCAGCCAGGGCACGTGGGGGCCAGGGCGGACCCCTGCGGGGGAGACCACAGAACTGGGAGCGTCCCAGGGGACGGGCGCGGCAGCCAGACACGAGTGCTGAGGCACAGGTTTAGTGCACGGAAGTCGGGAAAGACAGAAGAGACTGACAGTAGGTTGGTCCCCGATTTCTGTGGCCTGCAGGGAGTGGCCCCGCTCCCCTCCCTCCGGTCTCTGAGGGTTCTTCCGGGTCTCGGCCCAAAGAGACACGGCGGGAGCCACACGAGTAACTGCAACTTTTCTAGTAGCCGCAGTGAAAGAAATGCACAGGTGGCGACATTTAATCTAATACGTAGTTTATTTTGCCAACATCTGCAATACCATTCGGCAGGTACTCGATACAAAAATCGATGAGATATTTTACTTTTTCCTGACGTCTGGGCCACGCAGCGTGTACCTTACATGCAGAGCACACGCCAGCCACACTGTGTGTCTCGAGTGCTCAGCAGTCCCGTCTGGCCGGCAGCTGCCTGTTGGACGTGGCAGCTCCGGCACCTCTCGGTTTCTGAGTTGGGGTTTCTGACACCCCCCCTGTCCCCACCTGCTCTGCCGGGGGCTGCTCTCATGACCCCACGGACCTCCAGACCCCCGTGGGGTCACGGAACAGCAGTGGTGACGGGCGTGTGTCCCAGCTACCATTGTCAGTACATGTTCTTCCTGGCGAGGAATCACCTTCCCAGGCCTCGCTCTCCAGTCTCGTTTTGCTTTAAACCACGAACGGGCGCCGGATCCTATCACGCACCTGTCCCGCATCTGCTGGGAAAAGGGTGTGCTGGTTCCCCCGTGATGTAGGAACAGGCTGCGTCTCACTCAGTGTTTCTGATGCCCAGCGAGGGTTTTCGGGCGGTGAGGTCCCCTGTCCCAACTTTTCCCCGTGTGAGGAACTGCCGGCTCGCTGGCAACGTGTGGGGAGGCTCACCCGGCTTGGGGAAGACTCGCGGTAACCTCCCTCAGCTTTCTCCTGTGGCTGCCACGCGGCACCGGCCGGTGAGCGCCTCTCCCGCCAGGACTTCCCCCCCGAGCCGTGTTTCTGGCCCTGCTGTGCGTCTAGGTTCTCCGTGTCTGCCGGGCTAACGGCAGTGCTCTTGTCAAGCGGGAAACATTTTCTGGAAGCAGACGTGGACTCTTCCCTCCCTCCTGCCTTTCCCTCGGGTCCGTGTTCAGACACCTGAGTGACGTTGCCAGTTCCAGCCTCCCGAAATTCACACCAGGGCCGACCTGCGGACCTGCCCGGCATCACCTGTGACCAGGACATGTCAGCCCGGGTTGCCGGTGCTTTTCTGTGTTTCTGACGTGTCTACACGCAGTGAGGGTCCGTGCACTCTGACGGGACCTCTAGTCCAACTAATTCCGGCTCCTGCAAGTTTTCTCTCTTCTTTTTTGAATTGACTCTCATGCTCTGAATGCTTTGAATTTACTCTAAGTTAATTAACTTTTCTTTCTTTGTAACTTCTGGAGGTCAAAGCTTGCGTCCTTTCAGAAAGGCCTCGTTCCCCACACTCACACTGAGCACACACAGCTCCTCTCACGATGCCTCAATTTAACTCACAAATGGGGAGGGAGCTTTTCCTTTACTCTTTTTTTTTGAGTCAGAGTCTCCCTCTGTTGCCCGGGCTAGAGTGAGTGCTGTGGCGTCAGCCTAGCTCACAGCAACCTCAGACTCCTGGGCTCAAGCGATCCTCCTGCCTCAGCCTCCCGAGTAGCTGGGACTACAGGCTTGTGCCACCATGCCCTGCTAATTTTTTCTATGTATTTTTAGTTGTATGGCTAATTTCTTTCTCTATTTTTAGCAGAGACGAAGTCTCTCTCTTGTTCAGGCTGGTCTCAAACTCCTGACCTTGAGTGATCCTCCTGCCTCGGCCCCCCAGAGTGCTGGAATTACGGGCGTGAGCCACCGCGCCCGGCCCTTTCCTCTACTTTAAAAACTTGTTTTAAACATCATGTCCCTTCCCACCCCTCGTCACCATTTCACCACGAGTTGCAGAAAACAGCCTGAGGATGAAGACGCGCCTTCCCTCTTCCCTTGCCTCCCGGCCGCCCCCGCTGTCCGGGCCCTGCCTGGGGACACTGTTCCCGGTGCTCAGGGCACTGGCTTCTCTGTGAGTGTTGGCGGCGGCTGTCTCTTCTCGGCCTGCAGAAGGGTCGAGTGACTGGATGGGCTTATTTCCCACTCCCATAAATTGTTCTTGGTGCCCGGCACTCACACTGGCGGACGCCGGACAGGTGCCAGAGCAGCAGGGCGGATGTGCTTCCGCACGGCACACCTGCGCTGCAGCCTCGACTGTTCCCACCACCAATAACGGAGTAGGGTAACAGTATTCCCTGGCATTCCGAAAAGAGCACCTGACCGCCAGGCCGCCCACGGCCAGCATGTGGGAGTTGCCCGCCAGGACAGAGGCTCTGAGCGGCGGGCGGGACCCCCACGGTTCCCAGGCAACGGGGGAGGCGCCGGCCAGGAGATACCTGGCGAGCTGTTCTGTGTCCTCATTTGGACAGGACACCACACCTGGGAGCCGGAGCTGACCGGGGACACCCGGCAGCGTGTGGCCACCACGGGGTGTCCCGGCAGAGCCACTCACAGACAGGGCATCGCTCAGGGCCACCTCCCTCGGCACAGGCAGGAGGAGAAAGGTGCACCTCACTGCAGCTTGCTTTTTCCTTCTAAAGAAAAAACGAGCACGGTGACCCTCACAGGTGCCCAGCCGTGAGCGAGGTCACCCCGCCAGCCGCAGAGGCGTCGCCCCGGGTACAGCACGGCACAGACGCCCGCCGGGCTCCCCAGACTCGGAAGACCGGCTCCCTCTCCATTTCCCCATCACCAAAACACCTCGCCACACGTCAGACACCCTCAGGTCCAAATCAAATGCCACATTCAAACAGGGAACAGTCATTTTCATTTCTGCAATTAATTCCAGCTGAAATACCGAAAGCAAAAATGAAACAAGAAGCTGCATCGCAGACCGCTGCCGTCAGCCTCGTCCTGCTCTTCCCTCCACGCCCGAGTCGTGGCCCACGGCCAGCGCCATGGATCCCGAGCCCACACCCAGCAGCACGGGTCCCGAGCCCACACCCAGCAGCACGGGTCCCGAGCCCACACCCAGCGCCACGGGTCCCGAGCCCACACCCAGCGCCACGGGTCCCGAGCCCACGGCAAGGCAGGTGGGAAGGGCCCCGGGGCGGCTGCAGTGGGCAACGTTGTTCACTGGGTGTTTGCACTTCGCCCATTTACACAGATACCGTGTCCAGGTTCACAGCAGGCTCACCTGTCATTTCCTCGCTGACGTGACCTCGACCCTCTCCGTGACCTCAGACCTCGGCACCCACCTGTGCGGATGCAAGGGCCATCCGGCCTCCACGCACAACCTCCCGCCAGAGCCCGGGCCCGAGGCTGTACGTGAGCTGGCTCTCCTAGGCGCTCCCACTCACATCTAAAATTAAATACGGCTTTTCTAAAACTGGGCTACTTTTTCTTTCAAGCCCTCAGCCACCCCGACTGCTCGCCGTTGCTGTTGTCCTACTCCACGGCCCTCGCCCGAATCTCAGCACGCAGCACCCTGCCTGGAGGCTTCGTCCTTTAGTAATTCACTCGGCACCTGCCGTCCGCAGCAGGGTCACCGCCTGACCTCTGCGTCTGCTGTGTCCAACATAGCGAGGTTCAGGGGGGTCTTACGGGACTGATGCTGCTCTGAGCCACGGCAACCCTGGACCATGGACGGTCAAGAACATTCCGAACCTCCTGGGGGCCGGGCGAGCCCAGAGCCTCGCACACGGGGCCTCCCGGGGCAGGAGGAGGGGAGGGGTGGGGTGGCAGGTGGAGGACATAGGACGGTCTCTGGCGGGCACGGTGCCCTGCTGCATAGCAAGGAAGGGATGTGAAGGGTGCAGTGGGCTCAGCAGGGGCTGAGAGAGCAGAGACAGGCAGGACCCTCGCTCGCTCTGCCGTGGGGATCCCATCTGAACGCCTGTCTTGCCCACGGAGCTGCTCCCAGCTCAGGGGGTCAGAGAACCGCAGGGGAGCTCCACTCGTGGGGTGGGCACCGAGCCCCTCCCCATCCGCCAGCCCGAGGCCCGGCCTGGCGCACCGGCACGGCGAGGCTTGTACCTGCCCCTTCCCAGGTGGCCCACCCCCGCCTGCCCCTGGGTGGACAGAACCCAGGGAGGAGGGCCGTCAGTCGGGCTGCGTCCTGCTGTGGCAGCACCCCAGCTCGGAGCAGAGGCTGGTTTCCCGCCGTTGGCGGAGTTCCCACGGGAACCAGGTCCCGCCAAGGCCCAGCCTGGAGGCTCCACCTCGGCGTCACGCAGGAGGACGGGAGGTGGCAGAGGCCACGCCATGCCTGGCGTCCTGCTCACTTGCCAGCAGAGCAAGCCACGCGGCTGCCCACGTGGGACCGGCGGGAGTGGCCCGCTGAGCTCCGTTGCTTGGGGACAGGCGTCTCACGAGTGCCAGCGATGGCCGCAGCCCGGACGGTCACACAGGTCGGCCCTCGACTCTCGGGTCGACTCGGGAAGAGACGGAGCAGCCAGGCGGGCGGGCAGGGTCAGCCCCACGGCCCAGTGGGCCAGAGAGCGAGAGGCGCCTTCTCACTTCCTGCCCCTCAGCACCGGGGCCAACACCCCCATGGGGTCCAGGGTCCCGGCGCCCCCGAACTCCGGGCCGAGGACTCTGCAGTCACTGGAGAAGACGAGCGCGGCGCCCGCAAACGCCCCGGCACTCGCGAGTCGCTGCTGGAAACCGAGCAGCAGGAGCGTGGGGGGGAGTCAGGCCATCCACCCCCCTGCAGCCGTCTCCATGAGAACCCTGAGGGTCCAGGCCCAGCCCTGGACAGGGACACGAGAAAGACCCAGGACCCGCAGTGCCACCTGGCCCAGACCCGTGGGCAGAGCCGGTGCGAGGCCGGCACAGGCAGGTGTCTGGGTGTGGCGCCTGCAGGGCAGGGGGAGGGCCGGTGGGCTGTGGGCTCCGGCTGAGGAAGGCCTGCGAGTTCCTGGTGGGGCTTAAGCAGAGGCTGAAGGGACGAGGGGAGTGGGGTGGGGCTGCTGAGCCCTGAGGAGAGAGTCCCGTGAGCAGGAACGGCAGGTGCAAAGGCCCTGCGGTGGCGGAGGCCCAGGCGGGGCGGCCATGCTTGGGTGCCCACACAGATGGCCCGGTCCCCGCCTCAGGACGACGGGCAGAGGGCACATGCTGAGTTAACCCCGCTCCCAGGCCGGCCTCTGGGTCCTGCCCACACGCTTGCCGGGGCTGTCCTCACGCCTCCTGCTAACCGGCAGAGCTCTGCACACGCAGACCTCCTTTCCCCACAGGTTGTGGGAGGCCCTGAGCCCTGTCCCTGTGGTCCCCACGATGACACCCTGCACCCCGCGGCTCCGACGTGAAATTCCACAGCAATCCAAACTGCAGGCCGGAGGCCCGTCCTCCCACCCGGTCCCCCTGTGGGCTCAGCGCCAGGGGCCTGTCCCTCGCAGGTGTCGTGGGAACAGATGAGGGACAGAGGCAGAAACCCCAAAGCACAGGTGTCTGGGCCGGACTCTCCTCGCCCTGGGATGGCCCGGCTCCCGGAGCAGAAACCAGCGTCAGGTCCACCTGAAGCTGCAGGGACGTGGCCGCACCTGACCTGACCAGGCCGCTCACCTGGACGCACTGAGCTGCCACGGGCAGGACTTCAGAGGCCGCAGCCCCCCCAAAGCAGGGGGAGATGCTCAGAGGGGAACGTGGCCACCTGGTGGCCCCGGCTGGTCCCTCCCCCACTTCCCAGCAGTGGTGCCTCCTGGCCTGAGGCAGCGCCATGCCCACTCCCCTCAGGCCCTGCAGCCCAAGGAAATTCCTTATCTCCAGGACCCTCTGCCTTGGAGTGGAAGAATCCTGAAATTCAAGATTGGTGGCATTCCCAGCTGCTTCTACTTGCCGGTATTGGGCAAACACCTGCAGGAAGGCGGCAGGGTTTGCACTAAGAGCAACCCAAGTCACCTGTCCTGGGCGCAAGTCCTGGGCTCCCAGCTTTGGGGACCCCCAAGCACATCCCAGGCCATCGGGCCCCTCCAGCTGCAGGCAGCCCCTTGGCCTGTCCCACACCTCACCCATGCAGATACAGGGGGCACCCCCAGAACACCCTGACCCAACCCACCTGCAACTGAAGGAGCCCCTCCCTCCCGAACCCTGAGTCCACACCACCCTCTGCGGGGAGCCCCCAAGGGCTCTTGGCTCTGTCCCTAGCTGTGGGAGTCACCCCAGGACATCCTGCCCCCCCACCCCCACCCCCGCTGCAGGGACGGGTGGGAGGGCATGTTGGGGGCAGGACAGCCAGTTGGTGGGGGCAGGAGGCAGAATGGCCCAACCGCCCTGGGGTGAGGGAGAGGCAGGGCTCCCGATTTCAGGTGGGCATGGCCACTGACTGTGGCCACTGGGTGGTCAGAGCTGCTGACCAGCAGGACAAAGACAGTCTGGTGTGGAGGGGACGGGACAGGTCCAGTTTGGGACAGCTTCTGGACAGATGGGACCCCGAGAGGATGTCACAGTGACAATTCACACAGGAGCGACCAAACCCGTCCCTATCAGGGGGAAAGACTCACTGCTACAGACAGGTGGGTTCTGTGCCTTGCCCTGTACCTGGGGACGGTCACCCCCTCCTGGGGACAGTAGCCGGGGGTGGGGACGGTCACCCCCTCCTGGGGACAGTAGCCGGGGGTGGGGACGGTCACCCCCTCCTGGGGACAGTAGCCGGGGGTGGGGAAGGTCACCCCCTCCTGGGGACAGTAGCCGGGGGTGGGGATGGTCACCCCCTCCTGGGGACAGTAGCCGGGGGTGGGGACGGTCACCCCCTCCTGGGGACAGTAGCCGGGGGTGGGGAAGGTCACCCCCTCCTGGGGACAGTAGCCGGGGGTGGGGATGGTCACCCCCTCCTGGGGACAGTAGCCGGGGGTGGGGACGGTCACCCCTTCTTGGGGACAGTAGCCGGGGAGCACAAATGGGTTCGAATATAAAACCCGGCCCCCTGCCCTGGGTGGGCATTCGGTGCCTGATCCGAAACGCACCCCACCCACGGGCGTCCTGCTGTCTTGGGGGCACTGAGGTCACCTCTGCACACAGGCCGGGCAGGAGCCTCCCGGGCCTCGGGGTGCTGCCCTCGACAGCTCTGCCCAGCCCTGTGTCTTCCCTAAGGGTTTGAGATATGAAAAATCGTAAGAGGTTTCGTTTCATTTTGTAAAAAGGCTTGCATGTGGCAAATAACTTTTTAGGAAAAATAACTCACTCGTTTGGCTCTCGGAAGGACACGTGGCTTTCAGGGTAAAGTCCGGGTCTGGGAAAGGATGTCGTACCCAGCGCTGCAGCATGTCCCGCTGCAGGGGGCAAGGCTGGGCCACGGCCAGGCCCTCCCCCAGGATGGCCCCTGGCAGCAACTTGGGGGCCAGCAAACACCACGGAGAGAGGGACACGGAGCGGAGGGAGGTTGCAGCAGACAGCGCGAGCATCATAAGAACAGCACTCACATCGAAAACATGGGAGAGAAAATAGGGAGAGAAACCCCAAGCTCACGATGCTGGAACATGACTGAAAAAGCTAAGAAACGCCTTCATTATTTTTATTGCAGTAAAAAGTAGCACCAAGGGTTGCACAGTGACTTAGGTTTTAGCAGGACAAACACCGGCCACGTTATAAAATAACGTTACTCCCAGGCACAAGCCCAGCACTGTGCTTTTCCCTCTGGGCTCGTTTTCAGAACATGAATAATGGACAACTGGATTACAGGTTTATGGAGTGACCAAGGCATTAGAAACACTGACTGGGAATGGCCAGAAGTCTGGGAATGGTCTTCCGCAGAAGATCCCCAAGAATGTGGTGGGGGGCGATTGCTGCCTCTGGCCATTCTGGGGACCGTAGCGTGGGGACACTTTTGTCCCGGGCTGTGTCTGGGTGAAGGGCCTGGAAACAGGAAGGTCAAGGAGAAACTGCCAGAAGCTCTTCCCGGGGTCTCTGAGTCAGGCAGGGCAAGGACCGGGCTCAGCGAGACACATGACTCTGTGGAAGCCTGACGCACTCTCCCAGCCAGATACGCCCAGCACAGGCCCAGGGCACCTTCTCAGATGCAAGCCAGGCAAGGGTGCGGCGTCTGCACCGTCCGGGCGCACCCTCCCAGCGCCCCAGGGCGCTCTGCCCGCATGGAGACGGGCGGCGGTGGGCACGGGCCAGACTCCCAGCGAGTGCAGGGAGTGGGGGGGTGAGCCCTGCACCTGCTCCCTCGGGGGGGCTCCTGAGTGGCCCCTGTCTCGGGCAGGGAATCCCTGAATTTCTATATGAGAAACAGATACTTAAGTTGCAAAAAATTACCCACGTTAGGCAGAAAATATTTAAATGAAAAGGAAGCGGCTCCTGATAAAAATCAGCACAAGGTGAACACTGACAACTTAAGGTAAACTCTTTCTCATAATAGAACACAGTGCAAGGACGCTGAGAGGAGAACTTTCAATAATTTAATTCCAAAGACCTACGGCTAGCTTAAGGTCGACATGCTTTGGGCCATAATCACAGGTTTCTGTATAAAACTGATTATGCTTTGTTCAATCAGCTGTACAAACAAAACACACACACACACGCTCATGTTAAAATACAATTTTAGGACAGAAGGCTATAAAAAATGAAAAATATAGACTTTTCCAACCTTGAACCCCTCTTCCCACTTTCCAAAGTTAACCACAACTAAGTTTTACGTGTGCATCCTTGCAGAAATTAGAAAGGACTGAGAAACACGCGGGATTACTCAGAGGAGAAGACCATGAGGTCCAGGGCTCCTGGTGAGGTCAGCAGACGTCCACCCCGGGCCAGCCCGAGCTCCCCAAGGCACCGGGACAGCACAGCACCAGGCCTCAGCACCTGCATCTGCACCACCGTGGCAACGCCACACCTGCCTCCCTCCAGCCTCCTGGGGCTGCACCGACAGTGACCAGGGCAAGGATGCTGGGGAGAGGACCCCGGACCTCTCCTGGACAACAAACACCAGGCTGTCAGACGGTGCCTGCTCCAGGGCCTCCCGGGTGTCCAGAGGGGCCCAGACCCTGGGAAGCCCCACCCTCCTCCACCTCCCCCAAGGGACCTGTGCTCCCTGCAGACCCTCCACCAGGGCGCAATGGCCCCAGGCCCACTCTGAGGTTTGCTGCCCACAATCCCGTGGGGCAACCCCGTGTCCCCCCCACATCTGCTGCACGGTGCCGACCAAAGAGCTGCTCCTTGTTCAGCCTCATGGGTGGAGCATCCAGACACCCGGTGGCAGCTCAGGGAACCGGCGTCCCCGAGCGTGCACCGGGGGTGGGGCACTGGGGGCCCAGGCCATTCTGCAGACGCAGCCACCCACAGGAGTGGCGGGGGTGGGGGGTGGGGGGGGAGCGTGCAGGGCATGGGACTCCCTGCTCCAGGATGGCCGTGCCTGGCCCAAGGCAAGGCAGGGAGAGTGGAATCTTGCCCCCGTGTTCTTTTTGTCATCACAACCCAGGCATTTGGATAAAAACTCGGAGAAAACGATGGCCCACTTTTGGGTCAATTCCAAGCAGGGCCACCATGCAGGGAGGGGTGGACTCTGTCCCTGGATGCAGAGCTCATAATCCTCTCTGTGGATTACCGGGCAGGGTGCTTAGCAGCTGCCCCTGCTGCCTACGAACCAGCAACACGTCCGGGGACTCGGCTCCCAGGAGGACTGGAAGCAGCTCCGCTTTCCAGGAAGTCAACCCCCCTGACCTGGCTCTGAGCGGCGGGGACTTCGGAAATGGGGAAAACGAGTCACTGCAGGGGGGGAAGGGTGCTCACACCCACGGATTCCAAGGGAAGTACCGCAGAACCCCGGGTGACAGAAAACCACTTCATGACTCCAAAACCAACAAATTACCCTGTGACTATGAACTTTGGCTGACATCAGCAACAGCCAGTGTTGTGCTATTCATGGTTCTGCATTTAAATCCATGTCCTTGCTCTAGCCAGGGGGTAAAAGACAGCACCATGTTTCCCCAAAGATAAGACCTACCCATAAAATAAGCCCTAGCAGGATTTCTAAGCATTTGCGCAATAGAAGCCCTACCCCGAAAATAAGACCTGGTGACGGGCGTGGCTACGCAGTGTGTCTACACAGCCTGTGTATTTCGTCGCGGAGCGGTAAAGAAGACGAGCAGCCCTTCTCATTTGCCCCATGAGAGCTCCAAGGCTTGACATGAGACACTGGGGTCAATGGTTCTAAAGGAAATAGAGTTGCAAGAAATTCAGGATGGAATCCGGGGTTTGGAGAGTTAAGATGATGTTCCAGAAGAAGACGCCTTAACTATATCTGAATTAACATACACTGTTGTACTGTACTTAAAAAAAATAACACATCCCCTGAAAATAAGCCCTAGGGTGTCTTCTTGAGGAAAAATAAATATAAGACCCTGTCTTATTTTCGGGGAAACACGGTACGTTTCATAAACCCAGATGATTCTGACACGTCTTTTCAGATCTTCGCATGGTGTTTTTCTGTCCGAAGAGATGCCTAAGCTCCTCGCTAAATCTGTAGTTAAATGACAGATGGACTGGCCGGAGGAGGTGACCCGCAGGGCGTTAATCCCGAGACATGTGGCGGCCCCTCCCAGGCAGCGAATGCTCACAGGTAAATGCAGGTATCCACCATTTATCTCAGCTTGGAATTTAGGCAGGTGAGTGTGTCAGTCCCTACAGGATCCATTTCTTCCTTTGGGGAAGCAACTTTTCTTTGAAAGACAGGCCATTTCACTCTGTGGAAACTTTTGATATTATATTACATAAAAGTAAAAGCTTTGCAAAGCAATGCTTGGTGAAAAGCAAAACATTTCTGCAAAGGGGACCTCTGAGAGCATTTACAAACTATCCCTGGCCACACACCGAAAACATCTGAGCAGTAACATTTTTGTTACAAATGCACCAAATTACTCCAACTGGGGCCTGTGGGGCATGGTAACAAGGCACAAAGTATTCCTCCCTTCAGCGGCCACCACATCCACACTAAAACCAGGATCTCACCTGCAGGGCCCTCCCGAGAGGAAGAACGGCTCCCCCAAGCTCCTAGTCCTGTGACCCCTGCCCGAGATCATCTGGGAACAGTCCCCACCCCGAGTTCTTGGAGCAGAAAGAGGCCAGGGCCTGGACATCTCTGACCCTCCCTGACGTCTGCACCCGGTGCGTGTGAGTCTCTGCTTCCTGCCAGGGCAGTGGGCACACGCTTCGGGGCAGGACAGACCCGGCCCCTCCGGGTCTGTGCTAACCAGAGCTGTGACTGTGACAGAGGCACACAAGTGGCCTCCAGGGACCTCAGGGGAGGAAGGAGCCTGGCCTTTCACCCAAGACCTCAGGGAGGGGCAGAGAGGCTGGGTAAGTGCCAGACAGGGTGAGGACAGGGTGACCTGCCTGGGGGTGGGGGCTGGGCAGGGAGAATCCTCAGGAACCACAAGTAGGGGTCAGGACTGCAACCCGGGTGCCCAAGGAGGAGGGAGCACCGTGACCCCCACCCCTGCAATGGGCACAGAGCCTGGCAGGCGACGAGTGCAGATCTGTGCATGAGCAGATGCCGCAGACGGGGCAGAGCGGGGGCGGGTGGGCAGGGGCCAGTGCTGCCCTCACCTGAGTCATCGAGACATAGAGACGGGGGACGAGGCCTGGGCGCCAGTTTGGGGACGGCCTTGCATGTCACCAGGAGGGTTGGCACCTTCCTGGACGGCTCCCAATCTGCTCACCATTTCCTTCCCACGGACGGGGGACAACCAAGTCCACCAGGGGCGTTGAGGACGATCTTTACAGGTTACAAACTCCCGTCCCCAAAAGAAGTTCTGTCGCAGCTGGAAATACGCTCCCATGAACCGGTCCACCGCAGGCGACCCCGACTGTGGCTTCTGTGCACAGTTCTGGCGTCCGAAGCGAGGCCCCTTGCCCGCGGTCTCACAGGACAGCGCGCGAAGCGGGGACGTCACCGCCGTGCCAACAGAGCAGGGGATGAGTAGTCCGCAGCGTCGCAAGTGCCGGGCGCTGTCTTCCCGCACCCCACACCCACACCCACACCCGGAGCGGCGCGGACACAGGCCTCCACTCCCCGCTCTCCCAGCCTGGAGTCTCGGCACCAGCAGGCTGTGCCCTCCCACGGGGACCTCGTCCCTGTGAAGCAGAATGTGGTCACAGGCTCACCCCCAAGGGCGCATCCCTCCAAGCAGGAAAAACGCACACAGCCCAGAAAGCCAGTCGCAAAGAAGTGGGAGCCCTCCTGTCTATCCCCAAGGGAACCCCCGCCAGCCCCCCACCGTCCCTGGCACGACTCCAACCATCCAGTCCCCACACACACACGAGCTCATCAAGTGACAGAGGCAGAGGCAGCCTCCCGCCCGCCCGCCCAGCCGCCGCGAGGGGACGCCGGCTGGGCTCCGCTGTCCCCGCGGCCTGCGACGGGCGGGAGGGAGTGCGCCTCGGAGGACGGCGCGGGACCGGGATGCGGCTCCGGCTCCGTGCGGGGTCCCAGGTGAAGGGTGCGGGGCTGAGTTCGGGGTGTGTGATCGGGGAGGGTCTCAGGAAAGGGGATTTAGGGTCGGGCTCAGGGTGCGTGATCGCGGTGCAGGGATCTGGGGAGAAGAGGTGCGGGCCAGACTCAGGATGCGGGACCGGACAGAGGCGGTGAGGAGCTAGCATCCGGCGCGGGCGGCGGGCCTCAGAGAAGTGTGGGGACCCGGCCGTGGCGGGCTGAGGGGTGGCCGCAGGAAAGGAACCGCTGCTCGCAGGGCCGGCCAGGCCGCGCCAGGTCCCCTCCGCGCGCCCTCCCCAGCCGCGCATCCCACCCGGGCCGCGAGCGCCGAGCGCCGGAGCGCACCCACCTGGGCCTTGCGCAGGGCGCTGAGGCGCAGCTCGTGCACGAAGGGGTTCCGCCCCGGGGGCGCCAGCCGCCGAGCCTCGCCGGCCCCTGCGCTGGAGGCGGGGGCGGCCCGGGGACCGCATCCCCGCAGCCTCATGGCCGCGCGGCCCAGCCAGGGCGGCGGGCGGGGCCGAGCGGACGCGGAGCAGGGCCGGGCCGGGGCGCGGGCCGCGGGCAGAGATCGCCGCGGCTGGAGTGGGCCGGGCCGCGCGACCGCGCGCCGGAGGCGCACGGCGTGACGGCGGGCGGGCGGGCCGGGGCCCGGGCGGGGCGGCCGGCCCCGGCGGGGCCGGGCCGGGGCGTCCCCCATGCACCCCGCCCTCCCGCCAGCCGATGAGCCGCCCGTTGCACCCCGCTCTCCCAGGCCTAGTGGGGACACGGTAGGGGGCGCCGGTCGGCGCCAGGGGCGCTGGGGCGGGGCGCCTCCGCAGTCGCAGAACCACGGGACCCCGGGGTGGCCCGGACCTGCCCGGAGCGGGAGTGCCCGCGGTCCCACGAGCCCGCCCACGCGCGTCGCTCGCGCCTCAGCCCGCCAAGGCGGGACAGGGATGGCCGGCGCAGACCAGAGCGGGACAGAGGCAAGGGGGCCGCGGCCAGCACCTCCCAGGGGCTGTGGTGCGAGTCCGGCATCGCGCCGCCCTGTAGCCTGGCCCGCCCCACCCCCGAGGGCCCAGGCAGGTGCCGGGCCTGACGCACGTGTGACGAGGCCAGTTGCGGTCTAGCCCAGGTATTCACTGGGGCTACGGGTCCCCTCTCGAACACAGGGTCCCACTCAAGACCACAGGGCCCACTCAGTACCCCTGGGCCCCACTACCACAGGCCCACTAGGCACAGAGTCCACTCTGACACAGGTCCACTCAGACCACAGGGCCCACTTGACCACAGGCCCCTAGGGCCACAGACGTCATCCTGACACAGGGGTCCACTCGGCACTTCAGGGTCTCTCAACCATAGGGTCCACCACCTAGATCTCAGGTCCCACTCGACCCCCTGGCCCACTCTGACCACAGGCCCACTGACCCCACAGGCCCGACTCTTGACCCCTGGACCCACTCTGACACCACAGGGGCCCACTCTGACCAACAGGTGCCACTCTGACCCTTGGCCCCACTCTGACCCTGGGCCCACTCTGACCACAGGGGCCCACTGACCACAGGGCCCACTCTGACCCCTGGGCCACACTCTGACCACAGGGCCCACTCCTGACCTTGGGCCCACCGACCCACAAAAGGCGCACCCCAAAACTCTGACAACCGGGCCCAACCGACCACAGGGCCTCACTCTACCTGGGCCCACTCTGACCACAGGCCCAACTCTGACCTCTGGGCCCACTCTGACCACAGGCCCACTCTGACCCCATGGGCCCACTCTGACCACAGGCCCACTCTGACCCCGGCCCACTCTGGACCCACAGGGGCCTACTGACCACAGGTCCCACTCTGACCACAGGGCCACTCTGGACCCCTGGGCCACTCTGACCACTAGGCCCACTCTACCCCTGCCCACCTCTGACCTCTGGGCCCACTCTGACCCCTGGGCCCACTGACCACAGGGCCCACTCTGATCATAGGGCCCACTCAGATCCCTGGGCCTTCCGACCACAGGGCCTACTCTGAACACAAGCCCGAACGGTCTGACCCCTGGGCCCACCGCTGACCACAGGGCCTCTTCCCTGTGGACCCGCTGGGCACCACTCTGTCGACTCGCCATGTTGCTCCACTCTGACCTCTGGCCCACTCTGGACCCTGGGCCCCAGCTGTACCACAGGCCCACTCTGACCCATAGGTCCCACTCAGATCCCTGGCCTTCCGACCACAGGCAACTCTGAACACAGGCCCACTCAGACCCCCTGGCCTCTGACCACAGCCCCAACTCCTGCACCACATGCCCTCACTCAGACCACTGGGCCCACCTCAGAACCCTGCCCACTCAGACCACAGGGCCCACTCAGACCACAGGGCCCACTCTGACCACAGGGCCCACTGACCACAGGGCCCACTCTGACCACAGGGCCCACTCTGACCCCTGGGCCCACTCTGACCCCTGGACCCACTCAGACCACAGGGCCCACTCTGACCCCTGGGCCCACTCTGACCCCTGGACCCACTCAGACCACAGGGCCAAAGCCCGGGCCCCAGGGCCCACTCTGACTCACAGCAGTGGTCCTGGAGGGAGTCAGGTGAGGGGATGATTCTCTCTCCCCAGCTACTTCGTGGACGCAGGTCCTCGGGAGAAGGCCTGGAGAGCTCTACTTTGTGGCGCATCACGAACTAGGGCAAAAGCACAACAGCCCCCTGGCCAGCATTTATGAATCGACAATATTCACAAGTCTCGTGGCAATAATGCCAAATGTCTCCCCTCTCCTTGGGCCCCGACAGGTGGTGGTGTGGAGGGTTGAGACACGCTCCGTCTGGCCGGCCCCGTGAGCTCACACGGACACCTGAAGTCACCAGGACGGCGGCCCAGCTGCTGGGGCCGTCACTGGCCTGAGGCTGCCCGGCCTGCTCCTTCCCTCTGCAGAGGGTCCGGGAGTGACCCGGCCGCTCTGGTCACCCGACCCATAGTCTGCCAGACGGCCGAGTGAGGGTGGCCGTGCTGAGGCCCTTCTCTGTCCGAGGCCTGGATGTGGAGGGCCACGGGCAGGGTGTCCACGGCACCCACGGTGTTGACACTGCTCCTGGGGCAGTCCACACCGCTTCACGGCCGTGCTCTTGACCTGGGTCCCCGTCCCGTCTGTGACACCAGCTGGCAGCGGTGCCTGTCTTCCTCAGTGCCCTGCGGGCATGGAAGCCCAGGGGGCCGCGGTGAGCCTTGCTGGCTGGTGGGCATCAGGGTGCTGTGTGTCGGTGGCCTCCGTGGCCGGGCCACCAGCATTCTGCTGACCTCGTGGGCTTTCGGTTGCCACTTGCTCCGTCTCAGACACAACAGCCCGGCATCCCAGGCCACCGCAGGCTGCTGGTGAACCTGATTGTCAGGAAAGCCCCAGGGCACAACAGCCTGTCGGTGCCAGGTGGCACCGTCACCCCAGACAAGACGGGCCGGTCCCCAGGGCCGCCTGACGCCCCCTAGGCGAGGATGCCCGTGGACGTCCTGGTCATGGGGTTTGTGCGGCTTCCGAACCGGGTCTCCAGGGACTGCCCGAGCAGGTGCAGGTGTGTCCTGATCACCCCCCAGAAGCAGGGGCCAGAGGGTTGGACCGGCGGCTGTGTCCTGGGGGAAGACCCTGCTGGCGACGGGGCAGCCGGCCAGCTGGGAGAGCCTCGGGGTGTGCTGGGGCTGGTCGTGCCCCAGGAGACCCGACGTCCTGACCCTCAGAACCTGATTTGGAAGCAGGTCTTTGCAGGTGGTGAAGGTGAGATGAGGCAGGGGGAGCCCGGCCCGGCTGGCACCTTGATCTCGGGCGTTGGCCCCCAGAGCCCTGAGAGGGAAATTTCTGTACTTTTAGCCCAGTTTGTGGCAATGTGTCACCGCAGCCCCAGGAAACTCCCAGTGTGGGGAGTCTCAGCCCCGGGGGTGCCCCGCACCGCCCCGAAGTCTGAGCGAGGTTGGCAGGCCAGGCAGGTGTGCTCAGGTCAGGCTGGGTGTCCCCACCCTGCCCTGCTGTCCTTGGCGTGGCCACTCGGGAAGCCAGGCCTCTGTGCGGGTCCTTGGGTCAGTGGGGGGGGCACCGGGGGAGGCCTGGCGGGCAGCGCTTGCTCTGGGGCCTGGAGGGCAAGCAGGTGGGGGCCAGTTGCAAGGAGGGGCCATCAAAGGGACGGAGGGTGAGGACCCACTTACCCAGCCACTTGGCTCTCTCCCCTCCCTGTGCCCTGGGGGCTGGGGGTCCAGTCTCTGGCCATGGGGTTTGAGTGGCCGTTGCAGGGGAGGGGTCCCGGGATGTGCCTTCCCTAGGGAGGGGGCTTGGCGGGTGCCCTCTGGCCCCTCCCTCCCCTTCTCGCAGGCGAGAATGTGCTGCATGGCCCCTCAGCATGGGGCTGTCCCCTGGTGACAGGGCTTGGCAAGTTGGGGCACGGAACCGGCATCCTAAGGGTGCAGGGTGGAAAACGCAGAAACTGTGTGTTCCTCGGGCTCCTCGAGTAACACCCCCTTTCGTCTGTGACAAGGTCCAGCCCTGCCGTGTTCAAGCCACGGTGGCCGGGTGTTCTGATGTGTGCAGGGGCCGTGTCTGATCCGATGATCAGCACGGACGTGCAGCGCTCGGGAACCAGACCAGGGCGTCCCCTTGCACCGCTCATCGCAGGGGTGGGAATGCTCTCTGGGAAGTCCAGGTCTGAGACGAGGTTTGGGGGGAAGCTAGGACTGATTGGGTGAATCCTTCGAGCAAGGAGGCTGCATCAGGGAGGCCCAGCCAGTGGTAGTGGCCGGCGGTGGAGACCCCTGCAGGGTGCTGTGGTGTGGACGGGCTGGGGAGACCGAGAGACACAGGTGCCCCTTTCCCTCTGGCTGACGGAGAAAGGAGGATCGGGGGCTCCCAGGGAGGGGACACTCAGGAAGGGACTCGGGCGTGCGCCGTGAGGCCACAGACAACCAGCCAGCCCCACGCACGGGAGGAGCTGGGCCCCCGTGAGGGGCGTGACGGGCCACCTCAGGCAGGAAGGGCCCAGAACTCCGGGGAAGGGGGCCTGGGTGCAGGAGTGGGGTGCCCTCCTTCGCTGCAGCTGGGAGGAGGGAGGGACGGCTCCCAGGGCAGCGTCACCCACGGCTGCAGAGCTGGGTGCCCTGCGGGTGCGAGCCCGCTTTCTCCTGGATGGGTCGTGGGGAGATGCTCCCGCTTGGAGGAGTGGCCAGGAAGTTCCTGGCTCACAGTGGTATCCACACTTAGGCTTCAGGAGTTAAATAAACAATGGAATGTTCTGGAATATCCGGAGGGTCTGAAAGCTTGATTAGGAGAAGTGGGCCTTGGGCAAGGGGGTAGCCAGTGCCCCGCAGTGCTCTGGGGCAGCGAAGCCACACCCCTGGGGCGTCTTGCTCTTGCTTTGTTTGTTTTCGGAGAGTAGATTTACGGAGAAGTGTTTCCTGTACTCCAGATGCATTGAGAACAGGAGGTACCTGTTTGTTCCTGTGGGGATATTTTTGGTTTGTTTGTTTATTTCTTGAATTTCAGAGTTATTTACAGGAGAGAAGCTGACATTCTGCTTCATTTTCTTCTAATGTTTCCAAAGGTGTCGTTGTCGGAGCTGTGGCACCACCAGCGGCAGGGACAGACCCACGGGGCGTCCGGAAGTAGCTTTGCACATTCCTCTGCTCACGCTGGAAGGGGACCCGTGAGGGGGGAGAGAGTGGTACTGGAGCTGAGAACACCTGGTCACCAGGTGGAGAATTTGCAGCGACAGTGAAAGGCGGGGAGCCGGGGAACCCTGGCAAGAGCCCTTGCTGTGGCTTCCGGGGGTGAAGGACAAGGAGGAGACGCAGCAGCCTGGCTGGAGCGATTTCGGTGGGCCCTGGGGGCATGGCTGTCCCAGGTGTCCAGCACCTGGCCAGGGCTGACTAGGGCAGGGGTGAGAGGCCGCTGGAGGGGGGTGGGGTGTGGGGTCTGGTTTGGTCAGTCTGCATCGAAAGGCTCACAGCTGAGCGGTCCCTACCTTGGGGAGGGGCTGGCCTGGGACAGGCGGTCCCTCAGGGGTCAGCCAGGCTCCGAGACTTCAGAGCATCAGAGAGTACAAACAATTAAAAAAAAAAAATGAATGCTATGGAACGGATACTTGGAAATTTCAAGCACTGTTTTTCACCAACATGGTTATTTATTCTTCCATTTATTCAGGTCTTCTTTTATGCCTTTTGATTTTTCTACGGAAAGGGTCCACATTTGTATCAGGTTCATTCCTGGGTACTTTATACTTTTGCCGTGGTAAAACAATTTTATTTTTTAATTGCTTTTAAAGACTGTCCGTGGCTCATGCGGAGAAACAGCACCGGTTGTGCCGCCCTGGGGAGGGTGTGCGGACAGACCCTCGGGGCAGGAGGCCAGCTGCGTGGCCAGCCCCCGCGCGCAGCCCACGGCAGGGACCCCACCACGCACCACAGACGGACACGCAGCCCCACGAGAAACACTGGGTGGTGTGGTTTCCGCCGCTGCGGCTGCGCTGGTGTCTAAAGCATTGGTTGCGTCTTTCAAAGCCCAGCTTCTCAGTTCCCTCCCTCCCTCCTTCCCTTCCTCTCAGTTCCTTCCCTCCCTTCCGCCCCGGGGGCGCGCCAGCCGCCGGAGCCCGCCGGCCCCTGCGCTGGAGGCGGGCGCCGGGACGCATCCCGCAGCCTCATGGCCGCGCGGCCAGCCAGGGGAGCGGCGGCGGGCGCCGAGCGGACGCGGAGCAGGCCGGGCCGGGGGCGCGGGGCGGGGCAGAGGATGCGCCGCGGCTGAGTGGGCCGGGCGCGGCGGCGCGCAGGCGCGTGAGGGCAGCGGCGTAGCGGGCGGGCGGCCGGGGGCGCCGGGCGGGGGGCGGGCCGGGCCCCGGGGCGGGGCCGGCGGGGC